AAAAAAATCATTTTAGAAATATAAAATGAGACTTTGTTTTTATTACAGGCAGTACTGGATGCCCAAAGAGTTATGTTACAGCTCTTGAACACAACTGTCATTACACACCTAGTGAAGTATTTTAACTCTTTTCCTGAATGTATCTTGCTCTATAATATGACTTATGAGAGATCTCTTAAATCTAACAATTTATATCTATTATTCATTCCAGTAATGCCAAGTTGCAAGCACATCAGAAAAGAGTTTAACAGGCAAGCACCTGATGTTTTGTTTAAAAAAAGGTGTCCACATGTTAATTTATGAATCTTACTGGACTTCTGTTGTGCTGGCACAAAGGCTTGCTAACTCCACTCCAAGTTTACTCTTCTGGAATGAGTTTATTCAGCTCTCAGTGCCAAAATGGGCTTTAAACTTTAAACCAAATAAGGCATCAGCTTGCCAAACTCGGAGGTGACGTTTGATTCTAGCTATTAAACAGAGCTGAATCTCTGATGCCTAAATGAGCCAAGAAGAAAAACAAATTCTTCCTTACAGTCAGTGCTGCAGTCCTAGTCTTTAGGATTCTCCATCAGCACTGCTATAGGCTGTCAAAGGACCAGGAGAAACCCTACTACATACACAGAGGAAAAAGCACGTTCCCTTAGAAATCATTTGGTTCTTAGAAAAGTAATCAAACATGCAAATGGTGAAATGTGTCACAGTTTTCTTTTGGGGGAGGGCTAGAAATCCCAATTAAAATGGGAGTTGATGTTACATCAGACTCTCAGAGGACAGGAAACCTCTTTCCAAGTCACGACACAACTCACGCAAAACAAAGGCACATAGAAATTTGCTAGCAGAACTATCTCCAGCGATCAAAACATTAACCAGAACAACAAGAACACAGATGAAAGCTCAACAGACATACGTCTTAGTTTGCAAACACATTATAGGCCAAGGTTTTGAAAATAAAGATGAATGGCACCTCAATGCCTAAATGAGTAAATGCTGAATTGGCATTCAGAGTAAAGGTTGCTTTTAAGTACCTCRTTATTTTATATACGCCCCCAACTCCACCTTTGCTTTTTTTTTTTCAAAATTAGAAGGAAAACAAGAAAATCCATGCCTAAATTTCAAATAATGCAAAAGTTATTTAAAATAGAAGATTTTAATCTACTTGCATAGACATTTATACAACAGATTTTTGTAACATTATTTCAGTAAAATATTTATTTTCCATTTATTCACTAGTTAGTTTAGGTCAGACAATTAACAGAGACTTTAATAAGCCTCCACTTGCTAAGTAGGAAATCTTCTGGAGAAAAGGAGTAGATTATAAAATAGAAAAAAAAGTCTCAAAGGAAGGAACAGTTCRGCCAAATTGTTTCAAAACAAGGAAGAGAAGCTGAGAGGAGGGGAGAGAAAGAAACAGAGTTGTAGGAATGCCCTTCCCCAGCACATGGGCTGCATTTACAGCAGCTAATGCTTGGGAGAGGGGTAYGAAACTGCAGCCCCTCTCCTCCTCTCAGATAGAGCACGAGAAAAAATACCAGAGCTGTTTGTCATGACAGCTAGGAAAGAGAAAGAGGATTTCTCCTTTGCCAAGAAAAACTCAGGGTACTGCTAATTTATCAGACATCCACTAACCAAAAGCTGATACAGAAAGTTCAACTGGATCCAAGTTATTAACCACTACTGCTCCCTGACCTTGCAAGTTGGAATAGCTTGGGTCTGTAGATGAATTGTCCTATTTTACTGCTTTGGGGGAGTGTTCTAAAATAAGAAACTTTTATTAAAATGAAGCTTCCTCTATACTCTGAAACAGAGAACAGGCCATGCAGTAGGGAATATTCTGGCCTTTCACCTCTGAAGAGCCAGTTTAAGAACATGCTGTTCCATGTGTGCAAATGATGTTCAAACTGCTTTCAGTATCCTAGGCTGCTAGTGCCTAAGTTTCACATACAGAGGCTCAGTTTAGTACAGTTTATCATGAAAGAGACTAAGCTCCAAATTAGGACAGGAGGTTTATCACATTTTCAGCTTAAAAAGTACATATACATATGCTCTGAAAAGAGTTTTATTTTTCCTGCCTCTGCCACGTTTTTTTCTTGTTTATATTCTGCAGCCTAGAAMATATGAGATGACTCTGTATACACTAATTATAAATAGAGATTAAAAAAATAGCAAAGTCTGTTAATCTGTTAGGAAGACATTTTCTTCCATGGAGGCAGGGAAGCACTGGGAAAGAAAAAGGGAGTATTTGGGGTGACAGGTTCACCAGGAATGCGAAAGCAAGCATCCCAATAACACCAGTGGTAAAGGATACTGTGCCATGGGCATGGCAACCTGGTTCCAAAGCAGGCAAGGTCTCTTGGTGTGCACTGAAGCCACTCTGCATCTCCAGCAAAGTCTATCTCATGCTCRTACTCCAGTATGCAAGATGCCTTAAAACTAGACACAGTATAAGAAAGTTGTCCTTATTTCATTGATAAGAGAGCACCTCTACTTAAGTGAGTAACAGTCTCTCTAGCTTCAATCCAATTCAGTTGATCATCTTAGTCTTGTGGGGTGGGGAGGGAGAAGAAAACACAATGAAACACTTYAGGGAGAAACAACAAAACCAACTTTCTTAAAAGCAGTCACTGAAAGAAGCTAGTAGACAGYCCTAAGTAGCAAATATCAATTCATTACTGCCTCCTAAACTGGATTTTCTTTTGAGAGTTACCAAAGAGTAAATAGACTTAAAGCTCAACTAGTGTTACATCAGTACTACATGCTCTGGGTATCCCTGCTTGGGGTTTGGACTAGATGATCTCTACAGGTCTCTTCCAATCTCAACCGTTTTGAGATTCTGTGATTTAGCAAACACCGTCTTGAACAACAGCACCTTGGAGAGCAAGTCATTCTCCCTATAAAAAGGACAGAATACATTTTGGAGCCTTTTATAAGGGAATCCAGAGCTCAATCATATAATAATAACTTCCACTGAAATTAAGAGAAACTGCCCGCTTGGAAAAGGGTTCAGCCCACCCAGTCCCTAAGTATATCTTGTAATATTGCAAATGACACAAAAGCAGATCAAACAAGAGGACAAACTTTACAGACACTCTAACCATTTTTTTTTAACCAACTAACAGCTATCCCAAACTGCCCAAATATCCACCCTTCCTTTACTTGACAAACATTCAAAGTGCTTAGCAGGGTTTGAAAAAGAAGAATTTGGAATAAGCCTCCCAAGCGAGCAAGTTGTTATGCAAGTATAGAATGCTTTGATACTGGAAACTGTCAAGGTCTGATCATAGGTTTGACCTGATACAGCAGTTCTCATATCTGGATGTTTTTCTATCCAAAAGCACTGCAGACTTCACTATGAGACTGACAATACTCAATAACAAAAAAATCCATGAAGAACTTTAACACATCCAAAAGGTTATGCATTTCCACATACAAACCAAAGAGAATATAGGATTCACTAGGAAAAGTGAAAGAAAACMCGTAGCAAACATTGGCGTGTTTTCATCTGATACAGTATTACTTAGTGAGATTTTGACCTTGAATATTTACCTTCAAAACATACAATATATTTAAACCACCAAACTAGTACCCGTGAACTAAATAGTTGCCTTGTCTTACTGTTGTAATAGTTCTATCTTCCTTCAAATCTGTACATTAAGCTATATACCCACAAGCTCACGACAAACTTGCACCAAACTGCAAGCAAGGATTCATTTTCTAATTCCTTATATATTCATCATCATTTTGGGGTGCTGGATAAAGTTGATTTGTTTCTTAATGGAAAAGTCTTTTGAGCCACAGATATCAATTCAAATCATAAACACTTTTACCAAAAATCTCTGAACATGCACAGCAAAAGAAACATCTAAACTGGCTACAGATAATATGAAAATAAACTCATATAGTGAGCAAAAGCAGATACATCCTCTGTCATAAGAAACAGAAAAAAATCTTCTCTCAAAGGCTGGAAAATATATATATATATATATGTGGATTGTTACTATATATATCCTCATTAGTTTTTATTCAGCTGTTCTATCCAAGCTCAGAATTGCTACTGACTCATTCAAAAATAAATGTGACAGTAGACACTGTCAAAAAACAGGCCAAACTCTGGGCAAAGACATGCTTGAAAGAGCATCATTGTGTTAATATACACATAAAGAGAAATCTGTAACAGCATGATAAAGAGAACTAGAATACTAGCAGTGAAAAAAAAAAAATCCTTCTCTTTTGGAGTAAAATATAAGGGACACAGAAGTCAAAATAAAGCAGATCAAGCTGATGCAAGATGGCCAAAAGGACTGCAGGGTATAGTAACACCAACAACCAAGAGAAGGCAAACACTACTAGCCTAGAGAAAACTCAGATTACTATGTTAGGAAGAGATGCCATCAATTAATATTTCATTTCTTTGCCCAGTAAGAGATGTGTGTATGGCATCTATGAAAATGTTTCAGGCCACTAATTACTTGACAGTATTCCAGTTGCTGTTGCTTAAAGATTCAGCTGAAGGGCTACAATGGCTACAAGAAAGAACTTGCTGCATAATAAGGCAAGACATAAAACAATACTTTGAGAAGGAAATATTACCATGAACACTTCTGTTTACATAAAAGAGGTAAGGTAGCCTAGTTAGAACAGTGTGTGGCTGGGTTAAAAGCAGCCCCGGCAGTGGAAGCAGCTGTCACAAATGCAGCACTGCTTTAAGAAACTAGAGGGACACTGCAACCCGATGCGTACTGAGCGCAGGGCTTAAGGGGCCGCTGAAGCAGCAGATAAAGCTGATGTATTTGTTGTAAACTTTCCAGCATTGAGACTTTATTTGTCCGAGGCTGATACTGCCCCCATGGGTGGAGAAGCCGAGGGGCCAGTCGACGTCACAGGCGGAGCAGGGATAAAGAGCAGCACGCGGCTGTGCCATAAGCAGAACCCCCCCGAGCCCGGCTGCCCTGTGCAGCAGCAGGTTGCTGACAGCCCCTCCTCGGCAGCGCGGCAGCCAGCACAGAGCCCTGCACCATGCCGCAGAACGTCATCCTCCCAGGACCCGCGCCCTGGGGTTTCAGGCTCTCGGGAGGAATAGATTTTAACCAACCCTTAATCATTACCAGGGTAAGTATCTGGTCTATTTTCTATTACGTTCATTTATGTTTTTGCYCTTTACTTTTGAGTTCAATGATGCAGATGAAGCCTTAAGTAAATTAGAAAGGAGTTGTTACTTTTGAGAAGTTAGCTGGAAGCTAATAAGTTTTATTAAGCGACATATTTGTGGGATTACTTTATTGCTCAAAGAGTTTAAACTGCCTTTCTATTTATGCCTCAATAACTAAATTCCAGTGCCTCAGTACTAGGAAAACTGTGGTGTTGTGGCACCATTTCCCCATGCATTCAGATGGGAAAATAAGTTTTGAGCTTATTAAAGTCAGACCCCACTTCCATCATTTCTATAAGTAGCCAGGGCGACTACTGGGAGAACAGACCTCTCTGCAGCTGCTCCTCCTGTTGGGAGGTTTGTGCCTCGGGAACTTTTTGTGCCAACTTCAGAGGATTAACGCAACACCCACTTACGCTTATCAAGAGCTTCGATTGGCCAGCAAAGGCAATTGATCTGTGTCATTGATCTCTATCTACAGACACAGATCTAAAAGAAGGAATACATATTTTTATAAATTGTGTATTTTGAAAATTGTGTTTAAACACATCAGACACTAGAATTAAATTTCCTTATATTTTTGCTGCTTTTAAGTACATCAGGCACACCAATATGGGGTGTATCATCTCCTCCTACCCTTCAAGAAGAAAAAAAAGCACTGCACTATGACTCAATATATACACTATGTCTGGTATTAAATAAACGCCAGGAGTCTTGAAGGATGGATAGCACTGGTGAGGCCTTGCAGCAAGCATGCTYCTAAACAGGAGTCTGGCGCTGGTTAAGCAGCAGCATTTCACACAGCATAGAGCTACAAATTAGTTTCAATCAATTATTTACTCCAGATTTATATAAGCCTAACAGAACTCACCTGTTATTTTAACAAGAAATAAAGCCAAATAGTATCATTCTTTTATGTAACCTCATGACAAATGTTAGTAGGACATAACAAAACCTTTGGAGAAACAGAAAAAAAAAATCCCTCTGGATGTTTTTGGGGCCTTCGTTGCCTTTTATGGGCTTCCAAAGGAAAAGTACTTTCCATTATCTCTAACGAAAAATATTTTAGCAGTGTCTGGTTTGTATTTTCTCTGTGTTTAGATTAAGTCCAATGAAGTTTAAAACTGCACTAACAAAAGATGTTACTATAAATGTAACTTTCTAAAGAATAAGCAATTTTACAATTGACTCATACCTAACAAATGCCTCACAGGGCACGAGCAGATGGCTTCTAATAAATTATGGCACTGCTTAATAAATCACATTTCATGTAAAACTATGAAATTATAAAACATTTATATGAAAAGGAGCATGCTCAAGTTTCCTCAGTTGAAACGCAGGAATGTAAGAGAATTGTTGTTTAACATTAATATTTTTATTGCTGTAATATACACCCAGAAGAAACCCCAGTAAGCCTTAACGCAGGGGCTCCCAAGGGTTGGTGCAGAATTCATACGCTCCACTTTTTGGGGCCTAGACYGTCCTTTTGACAAAGGCATTACCCGCAATGCATCCACATTTGACACAGTTGTCACAACAGGAAATATTTTTAGCCATTAGAACAATAACATAGAAGCTGTTTTTTGAACAAAACACTGRGACAGACGTAAGTTTGGTTAGCTGTATCTCTTGGTTAACAACCAAAAGTCTTTACCAGGAGTTGTCTGAAAAACAGACAGCACAACAATGAGGCTGCAAGGTGATTGATCAAAAACCTACCCTTAATGAAACAGAATTATTTCAGTCTATTTTGACCAGAAGATAGCATTTTAGGTTAAATACTGAGATGAATTTAAACTTAARTTCTAAGTCATGTTGAATAAAGCAACATAGAAACTATTAAATTTTATAGTTTGGAAGGAATGGCAAAATCTGTTATGAACTCTAGATTTGCAAGTTCTGGTTTCAACATAAATATCTTAACATTCAACATCTTAATTTTACAGATTGTAATGAGCATATTTACTCAACTCATATTAATCCAACTTTATGTTCATCTACTTTCCCTGCAGATGTTCTTAATTCTCTTCTAAAGAAGTTTTACACATCTTTTAAAAATAACTTTATAGAGTGCATCTGTTTTCCAAGTTTCATAACAGATATTGCCCCAACACACATTATTCCTACAGTATTTATTCCTACAGTACAGCAGAAGAGACATCCTGTACAGCCCTGTGCCTTGCAGATAAAGGCTAGACCTGCCACAGCCCCCCACAAGACTTCTGTCTCGGGAAGCAGGGAGCAAGCACCATGGCCAACACTACCCATATGGCACTCACTGGGGCAGATAGCTCTGCTCCCCAGAACACAGGGCAAGTAGGGTCAGCACCTCCACCAAGAGGTTAAACAACTCAGCTCCTGAGTAGGGAAATGCAGATTCCTGCCTGCTTCCCTCTTTGCTGCCACCATAAGGCCACCAATCATTTAGTGCTGTCCCTGCAGTCAGGGACAAGAGTAAGAAAATCTAAAGAATAGCACATAACTTCACAGTTTAGGTTCTGCTGGCAGCACAGCTATTTACTTTGTCAGGCAGATGCTGCTTCATGAGCCAGGGTCCTATCTCAATACCTTGCTGTAGTATGCCACAGACAGAGCAGATGGTTTGTTGTGTCGTGTAAAAAGTAATATATATTGATTCTAAGGGTCATTCAAGCAAGCTTGGGCTCGAGAAGCATCGAAGCATAGCTGCTTTTGCACTTTATATTTTGAACATGGGAGCATTAGCAGACAGACACTCAGAAGCCAGGACTTCTCATGTTGCAGGCACGTGCAAAATGACAACGTGCAAGGCAAARGCAGGAGCCACTTCAGGTTACAGCAACAGGCAAGACTGTAACTCTGCCCCTTCGTTATTACAGCTGTGTAAGTGGTCTCGGGGTAGCTCATTTACACTCACAGCTGTTAAAAGTCTGAGAAGCAGATAATTTCAGAGCCTCCAGATTTAGAATTTACAAGCAACTTCTCTAGTCCATACTCAAACAGATTGTTCAGGTACCTTAACACTACATGCATCTTTTTGGTGAAYAGAAGGCAAAAGCCTACAACTGGCCAAAAGTACCAACTCAGAAAGTTCCCTTAACTGACTTGGTAATAGCACGTGCCCTGCAGTTTGATACAGGGAAAACAAATATCATCTCTATCTTTTTTTCCCTCTTTTTTAAATGCTAACAGTCAGCGCTGACACCCGCACAGGCAATGCAGACCAATCCATTCAGCAYAGCTGGGGTTCACAACATACTGAAGACACATTGGGCAGCTTATCCCATATGATATTTCTTAGTCTTCTGAAACACTTTGTTGCTTTTAATCACTCAGACACTACTTGCTTTGACTTTCACAGACCACGCAGTGAAATTAACTCTGTTCCATACATTTAAATTCACACATGGCAGACTTTTACACAAAACAAAAACCAACCAACCAACCCCAAAAGTGCTGCTCCCTTAAGCCAGTAATCACACGTGGCTACTTCACACTGGGATCTGTTTGCTTAACCATAAGCAGTTAAGGTTATTTTTAGATGCACCAACCTGTCCCCCTCTGCTGTTCCAGACAGGCTGAATTCCAGAAACTCTTGTGCTATGTCCATTCTTTTCATGTTTTTKTCTTGGTTGCTCAAGGTCACCTAAAACAGCAATAGGTGCCTACAGCAGAGGATTGAATCCCACTCAAAAACCAATGGCTCRTTTAAACAATGAGACAGTAGAGGAAGTCAGATGATGCCAAGTAAAGATTTCTAGAACAGGCTTAACTAGCAGCCAAGATCATGGCCTCTCTACAGTGAAACTTTATTTCTGTTCTGAAATAACCACTTCAATTATTTTAACTGTGATATAGTAGATAAGCAACTACGTAATAAATAGATAAAAAGCACAGAGAGATAAGCTTAGGGCTCTTTCTGTAAATATCACCATTTTCATTATGTTTCCAAGAGGAATGGGACTTGGTACTTCCAGGAGCCCAGAATCTGGGATCAGTACTTGTAAAGAGCACAATGTAGCTTTGGTATTACCATAGCTATTACTCAAAAATAGAACACAAGAGGCCAGAACAATGGGAAATACACTAAGGGCTGTTACGGTTCCTTTAAGTGCTGTAAAATCACAAGTTGCTTTCCATTGCGTGCAGTCAATAGGACATCACCTATGTGAACACTCAGTAGTGTAACTGCCCCAAGCGTGCTATTCTGTTAGCATACAAAGTTGCAAGGGAGAATTTACCTGCTTTTAACAAGTAAATTATCCAATAGAGACTAGGAAGGAACAAAGACAAGTTACAGTAAATACAGAAAACAGGCATAAACTATTTAATGCAAAAATGTGAAGGTAATTTTAATCCAGTTTGAAACTATGATGTACAAAGTATTTACAAACTATGTACAAAGTATTTAAATGATGAGTTGAAAATTGAACTATAGAGAGACTAGCAAAATTATGAATTTGGTTTCTTATGAGTAGTCACAGTTTTTCATAGGCCTGTCTTTCCCCACAATCCCACAGAAAACAGGGAAGTCTGGTAAAGTTCTTTTTTTTTTTTTTCTATCAGATTTTTAATGTATATATGGTGCTTAAGAAGGTTTTTTTTTTTTTTCTCCTCCAGATTACACCTGGAGGCAAGGCTTCAGCTGCCAACCTGTGCCCTGGTGACACTATTGTGGCTATTGATGGCCAAAGCACAGAAAACATGACGCATAACGATGCCCAAGAGAAAATCAAAGCAGCCGTCCACCAGCTTTGTTTGAAAATTGAGAGGTATGTATACATGCACATATCTGCTCACTACTGAGAGAAGATGTGACCTAGCTAAGCAAAGTAACTGTTCAAAATTGTTTAGAAAACCATGCAAAGCCTTTTAAATAACACATATAAAGATTCACTTCACCAGCTGCAGATCAGGCTAGAGTCTCTAGTCACTTGTTTCTTCAGGCACAGGAGCAGCTTCCCTTAGGCTTCCCTCACTACATATACCACAAGTTTCACACCACCTACTGCTTCTACTGACTTCACAAACCGTACCTTGGTTTTCTGTGAACAAGTAACTCTTCAAGTGCTTGTCAGCTAAAACTCTGAGAAGTGCCACAATCAAAACCTCAACCAGCCACCCATGTGCATTTCTCTGTGAGCAAAGCTCCCTCACAGGAACAGGCAGAGCTACTAAGCATTATCTTCCCAGTTAAGGGAAACAACACCTCATCAGGCTTTCAGGACTTTTTTAAAGCGCATTTCTATAGGAAAAATGCATTTCATCAAATAAAAGATTTGCAAAGCAACATACACCAAATCTCTGACTTACCACAATCCAGATATTTTTGCTTTTCTTCCTCTCCRCTAAAGCCACCAAGAGAAACAACCTGCATCACTCCATTTCCTACGGGACTTTGCTCCACCTTTAATCTAAATCATCCATCATGCTTCCCAGCTGGCTCCAACAAGCAACCAGCTCTGACCTACCGGAGGCCCTCAGTTAGCCATGGCATTTTATTACAACTGACTACCCTATTTCTTTCCAAATAAGGATTTTTTTTTTTAAAGAGCATTATTTAATTACTAGAGCCCAGAGGTAGGTTCAGAAATTTCTATATTTGATTCCAGGTTCTATTGCAAGTTGATATATATCATTTAGCAACTCTCTCAGGAAAGAATTTTCAAAGTAAGGTAAGTATAACTCTGCATATGAAACATTTGCATATTTAAAAAATTAAATATTGATACTTACATAACCAACAGCACTACTGTGAACACACTATACTACTTTTTACATTATTTTTTACATTTCACAAATAAATACATGAGTTTAAAATGAATTGCAAAACTTCCCACTGACAACAAAACCAAAATTGTAACTGACGTTACTCAAACTTAAAGAATCACCTGTGCTACTTCTATTGAATATTCACTTTATAGGTAGAACTGCACTCCCCTTACTTTGAAAAGCAGACCCCAAATGAATGTTAGAATTGCATTAAAAAAATCTTGTTTATTATTATTAATTTAATCACTTATTATTCTAAAGTACTGAGAAGTAAGTAGTAACAACAGATATTAATTCCTGATGTTTCTACATCTTTAAAAATACACATTTTCCAATGTTAGTTAACTATAGTACACAATATATTTTGTTAAAGAATTTTTAAGCCTATAGAACAAACTGCATTTTATTTTACTTTTTTTTTTTTTTTTTTTTTTTTTTTTTTTTTTTTTTTTTTTTTTTACTGCTTTCTTCTGTAGGACAGAAACTAAATTATGGTCTCCACAAGTATCAGAAGATGGCAAAGCACACCCCTTCAAGATAAATTTGGAAGCTGAACCACAGGTACGAATTCTTATAACTAAATTATCCATCTCAATTTGTTTTCTTTTCCCCACTCTAAATGATCTCACTCATAGTCATTAAAACTTTGGATAGCATTTCATCCACCATCTGCCAGTTTAAGCTAATGTGAGTCATAAAATATACTATATATACATTGTTTTACTTGATGTTTTTAATTTTTCTGAGGAAAAGAAAAAGAAAAATCTAACAAATCACACCACATTCTCATTTTTCTTTAAAATAAGATGTATCACACAGTTTTGTTATGAAAATACCTCCTTTCATTCAAATATTATTTAAGTCACTTTATCTCTTTTAGAGAATTCATCAGCATATTAGAAAGGTCTTCAAACTGGACTTTAGTGTCAAATTCTAAAGTTATGTGCCTATGACATCCCCAAATCTTGTTGATGTTAGTTAGAGAGAGGTCTATCACTGCTGCTTCTCTTCACATCCATACATTCTGATATTACAGCACAACACTAAAAGTTATGAAAATGTATCCATGTTTTTTATAGCAAAAGCTTATTCCTTTTACACGAGCTGGGCAAATCCAACAAACTTAAATTCTCCTCCCTCCTCAACCTCACATGCAGAGCCTTGCACAAAGCTCCCAGCAGTTTCTATATCATGAGCAGACAGCAGCTTGGTAACTGCACCTGGAGCTTCACTCCTCTGCCGTTTCTTCCTTACCCTCCAAGAGTGTTTGCTGTATTCTCAAGAGGGGTGGCAAGAGAGGCCAGGATCAAAGCAAGTATGCTAAAGTGTTTATTCATGGTAGATTAGCATACCACCCCAGGTTAAATTTAAGAGAGGATACTTTTTCAACAAATTCTGTGTAGTGAATAATGCCACCAATCTGTTCTCGCAGATGCACTCCCAAACATGAATATGGCATTGCAATGCTCCAAATCTACCTTTTCCTCCCAATCTAAAAATCACTGTGATAAACAACAAGGCAAATTTCTGTAGAAATATATAGCCTTATATAACTTTTTCCTCCAGTAACAATCCAACATGGAACATGAGTTCCACGTTCCAGTTCTAGTATATAACATAAAGCAGTAAATGCAGACTGAAAACCACTCCCAAAAGCTCCTTATGGAATTCTGCATTAAAAAATAGCCACCTAATTTTGTTAGTCTTTAACAAACTACAGTGTCATGGATACATGATAGGAAATAATAAATTGCTTGCAGTGTAACTGATGCATTATTTTCTATAGCAAAACAATTTAGAAAGTAAGGATCTCAGTATAAATAGGAAGAGGAAATATATCTGTCTAAATGACAAAYTTTATGCCCATTTTTAAAAGAACCCTGCATTATAACTTTAATAACTTTAACATAATAACTTTTTGTAAGTACAAAACAATGTTGCAATCTGTAGATTTTTTTCCCATTTACTATCTGCTTTTAMCCTCATATGAAATGAATGAATTTGTTTTGATCACAGTAACTATCTAATTCATTTTCTTAGTCTTCAATTTGGTTGGTTGGTTGGTTGGTATGATTAAAGATTTGACCAAGGAAGCCACTATACTTTCCTTAGAGATATAAATATACTGTAAATAATATAAATATACATAAGGCAGTTAACATATAAACAAAAAATATTTCTATTATACAAAACAAACGTATACTACAGTACTGCTTACAATCAAGCTTTGAAAAATGAATGTACTAATTAGCTTTGAGGACCTTTCCCCTCTTCCAGAACAGCATTCAGAGATAAAATCCGTCAGTGATGCGATACCTACCAAATGTAAACGTCCTGTACCGCCATGCCCATTACCCCCATGGTGATCAAYATATGGTCCTTGCTGCATTCATACACAGTGGGCTGCTGCCTCAGACTTCTGGGGGCTACAGTCGTTCTAGTTCTCATGCCTCTATCAATGAAAAAGGTATTTAGCCCTGCAAAAAGGACACCTGTCTGCTATAAAAAAATAAGAAATTAAATACTGTAATTCACTAATATTCCTGATTAAGAATTTGAATTGCATTCCTTTTTTTTTTTTTTTTTTTTTTTTTGCTTAATTTTTGAACTAAAGGAGGAATTTTCATTGATTTTATCGCATCCAATAAACACAAGAGCTGGACTATTTTTGCTGCTGTATGTTCTGTCGGTGACATTTTATATGAATAGACAAACTAAAAAGAAAATAGAATTTAAGCCTAACTAACTGCAAATTCTTGTCTCACAATTTAAAATTGTAAACTTGCCACATGTCTTCTGTGCCGTTCATCTATCAAGAAATAAAAAGGGGATGAAACGACAGTGTTCACAGTTGGTTTTGTTTTGTATCACACATTTACCTTGCATACATAAATTAACTTAAAATCCTTAGAGATTAATATTTTTCATAAAGCAGACCTGATGCTAAACTGTAGTAATCATCTCCATGTACTAATATCCTTGGTCAGCTGCAGCCCAGTTCTGCCAGACAGAAACAAAGGACTGCAAGTGAAATCATTGTGCTCGTTTACCCAACTGCTGCTTCTGTATTCTGTGCTAGTGCACTGCTGCTAAACATCTCAATTTGGTAGAAGTGCTTTTGCTGTATGCATTTTCTGGTTGCACATCCTATATAACCATGACTTTTCTGTGGTCTCTTAAAAAAAAAGTATTTCTGAAACTGTTGTTTTAAATGAAAGCATAAGGCGTGAATCACATTCAGGATTTCACAGCTGATTTTTCAATTGTTCACCAAAACTTTGAACAGAGACTTAATCTTGTCTGAAAAARGAAATAAAGCTTTGAGGAGTTAATAAAAACCTGCAGATGTCAAAAATATGTGCACATTTGTCTAATCTTACTATCTTTTATTCTGAGGATTTGAGTATTCAAATTTATATATATATACATACATATATATATATATTTTTTTTTTTTCTGTAAGAACCACAGAAGCTGCTCAGCAGGTGACAGTACCGTTCCTCTCACAGGCTGTACCATTGTGGATTAGTGACCTTATCAGTTAAGGTCCGTCTAAACTAAGGTGTCTGTCCCCAATGTGCCCAACATGAGAATGTGTTAATACAGACAAAACTCTTGCCTGTCATCCATGAAGAAGACAGGAAGCTATCTGAAATGACATTGGAGACTTTGTTTCCAGATCTGATCTCTACACATTCCCCAACTGGAGGAAATGATCTGGACCAATAATAAATAAAACCAGAGGGGGGAAAAAAAAGATAGGCAGAATTATTTCCCATTTATCCATTTCTGGGTTTATTTTTTTACAATGATTTTTATATTATCATTGAATTATGCAGCATCACAATTCTTAATGCATAGATAAACCTCAAGTACTYAATCACTTCAGAAAGATGGCATCAATCTGAAGTCTGTTCAAGACTACTGCTGCTAAATGTCCATCAATGTATGACAAAACAGCGGAAACAGAACCATAAAGGGAAGCAATTAAGCTAACTATATATGAAATGTTTCTGTAAGAATAAACTACTGAGCAGTGTTCCTACAACAGGTTCTTACAGTATTCACCTCTTAAATTTCCTGCTAAATTACTAAAATTTGTTTACAAATACAGAAGGCCTTTTTTTTTTTGTCCTGAGGCTGAAAAATAATAATCTCTGAATGCATATGGCTTACATAGCATATAGAAAATCAACGGAAAAGGTATAGTATGCTTGCACCAGTTCAAATATAACAGAGTCGCAAAAGTAGAAAAATGCAGAGATTAACAGAGATTAACTGATGTTGTCAGTTTTACTCATTGCCAGCTTTGGTGTGCATTGTAGCTTTGTGTATTTTGTCTGCCTATTGTGTACAGGAATTCAAGCCTATTGGTACAGCTCACAACAGAAGGGCCCAGCCTTTTGTTGCAGCAGCAAATATTGATGCCAAAAGACAGGTAGTGAGCTCCTCCTATAACTCTCCAATTGGGCTCTATTCATCGGGCAATATACAAGATGCTCTTCACGGACAACTGAGGGGGCTCATATCTCCCAAGTGAGTACTGGTGTTTACTTATATTACATGCTCATTTGTGCTAATAGCATTGTTTTGTTTTCAGTTAAAAAGTCCAGCTCTTGCTGTTTGCTGATAATCAGGGGGCTAATCGAGTCTCCAAATCTGGTGATCAATGAAGATTTTTTTTTCCAACACTGAAAATGATACATTCAGCTGTGTGGTGGCAGCTCTTCAGGTAGYTAAAATTTGCTCTCTGAATTAGGCTGCAAGACTCTGTTTCACACTTCCCTCTTACACTTGGAGTCTCTAAATACCAAAGTGACTATATTTTGAGGCCAGGAATGTAAAAAAAGTAAACATGATTACTTCATGTTTTCTATTTTCCAAATTTGGAAACTAATTTTTGTCTAGAAATAAGCATTTATATAGACTGAAGGAAGTTATTTTAATCCTCTTTTCTTTTCAGGATATGAACTACTTTGAACACAAGCACAATACTCGGCCCAAACCTTTCATAGTCTCAGGCCGAAGCAGGTTATAAGCTCTGAGTGCTGTGTTGGCTTTGGATGCATGGTGTTATTTTTTAATGGATACTCACACATCATATTAATAAAGAATATGGATGCACTTGAAATCAGCTCGTAGTACTATATAATGAAATCCTGAAGTCCTAATGAAGAAAATTGTTGATTTGCAGAGATCAGGCTTGAAATTCAAAATTCTCTTTCCAAAAGAAACCAGGTCCTGATTCTAATCTCATTTATACTGATACAAGTCGGAAATAAATTGATTCATTTTACACTACAGTGCAGCACTGGATATTACATATTTTGAAAACTATGGAACTAAAAATTCTTCTGTCCAAGTGGGAATATAGATAATTTGTTAATATGCTAAACAAAAGATTAGCTGGTTACATCAGTTATCATCTAACTATGCAGAGGTTGCCAAGTTTACTCTTCAGCAGGCTCCTTTGTTCAGACAGCAAGGTGATGCAGGCCTAAAATTGCAGTACTACCTGATGCCACAGGTATGCAAAGTTCTCAAATGAAGAAAATCTTACACACTTATGTCCATCTGTTTAGTGTAATTTTCCTCTTTCGTAACTGGGAATGAAATACCTAACATAGTGATATTTTTAAAGTCTTAGAGGGGAAAACAATGCAATCTCTATGGCTAAAAAGGCAAGCAGGCTCAACAGTGCTTGAGTGATCCAATATATTAAGATGGTATCTTTTATCTTTTCTAGCAATTACCGTTTTTACTCGGGGGTTCAGTGCTCTGCAAGTCATGCTGAAGGTTCCAAATGTCTGAAGTTGTTACACTAATTTAAGTCTGATGAACTGGTTCAAAAAACCAGGATGATAATTGATTTTCATGTACAATGGACAATCTCACACAGAGTTTTTGTGAAATGTATTACATGTTTCAAGCACCTGTGTGATAAAGAGACTGTAACAGCTGCGTAGGGTCTCCATCTGTTGAGAAGAATTAACAGTGCAGTTTCTCAGTGAAGAAAGAGCACCTGTGTCTCCTAGCAGCCTGATTACGACACATGTCCTCTAACTTGGGGTGACAGCTACAGGTACTGACTTGCATTTTGGACCATTAGGTACAAATGGGTAGGTCAACACCTAATGCCTCTTATAGGTGCACAGTATTTCAGTGAAAATATGTAAGTAGATGGTCACTTTCCAGTAGGGAAAAAATGGCAAAAAGTTACCTGACAGAAGTGCAGAAACTTTCAGAACCTTAGTTAGGTGTGATCTACAAGGTGCTCTGACATTGGAACAATCTGTACTTAGGAGTTCCCACATCTCCAAGGAAGAACACTAMATCTGCAAAGCTGTAGTTGTCACTGTTTGCCCATTCTCTTTTCACCTGCCTGCCTTTTTGTATATCCTCTGTTAAAGACAGTAAAAAACAAACCTCCACCTTGACTAAATGTCTCCGTAGGACAGCCAAGGCCAGATGAAAATAAGATTTTCACTAAAAGAAGACCTTAYAATGGACATTGGGACTGAACTAACAGAGTTGGTATTAGTGACAATTTTAGATTTTATTCTGTCAAAAGTATGTGGCAGTTTTATACATTATTATATCTTATTTATACCTTACTCTGCTTAACATTGCTTGGCTGCTGACCACAGCGGTTATGCCTTTTCTATTTTTTTCCTACTATTTTCCACTTACTAACACTATCGGCACTGACAAAACTTATTTTACTGGATCTAAGGGTGGTCTTCATTTTAGAAAAAAAAAAAAGCCTATATATGTGCAAATTGCTCTGTGTTCTCTTTTTAGCTGGCTTATGCTTGGTGAAGAAATAGAACTGTATGCTTGGTTTAGGATCTGGTTGTCTTCTCTAGAATTAACTTTCTTCTGATCTATCTTTGATGACAGAGGATGTATTTCCCCTTACATTTTTGAGAAAGTGGTTCTACACAAATTCCCTGGTGAATCAAAGGGAGAACTTGATTCCCCTGAGTGGGAGTCTACTCAGAAGGACTACTGGAAGTGATCATACTGTATTATCAAACTGTATAATATAGGATTCTCCCTGGTTTACGCRGTACCGATTACCTTGGGAAGAACCAACTGCAACCATAGTATGCAGGTTGGAGCAAAAGGGTTAAGTCATATATCATCCTGTAACTCTGAATATGACTGTAAAAAGGCTGCTTTATGCATTTTTATAGTTACAGGAAACAAATATCTCTGAATGAAGAAAGCCTCTGAGATGCTGTAGAGTCAAGTGTTCAAAACAGTAACACTGAAAAAGACTTGGATCTTCATGGAGGGTCATAACATTATTTTATGAGTTCTTTTTCAGAAATATTAAATTGGTGTGTAGTAACTCCAGTATGTAGGGTAACATTGCTATTTTTCYAAAAGGGTACATCCTTTATTATATATAAAATGCTTTAAAATATTGAGATATCAACTTCAAAAGCCTTCAAAAGACCTTAAAAAGGTCTGCCCAAAATGAGTTCTCTAATTACACTCATTGTTCTTGTGAAGGGCCACTTTACATTCTATTGGAAACACTGTAATTTAGGAATGCAAAAGTATGACTGTTTATTCTAACATTTTCTTTTTATAAATTCAAAAATGCTTAAAACAACAAATACTTAAAAATTCTAAACAAATTGTTAAGCTAACTTTACAAGATTAAGAAATACTTTACTGTGAATTTTAAGAAATCTAGTAAAAGTCAAACATATAATTCTGCACTGCTTTTTAGAAGCCTCTTCAACTATGCACTGAGATGGCTTGTGAGGTACAGGACTGGTATGTTTAGGATTCTAGTACCGCATATGTTTATTGTCACTGGTACAGACAACTCACAAACTCATTTTTCCCACTGGGATATGTTAAGAATTACTCATCTAGAACAAAGAGCTTCGGAGAGACTTAATTAACCCTCTAAGGAAATCTAGCACTAAAAGTACAACATAATCTTCTCTTCTGAATTGTCTTTGATAAAATACATACCAGAATTTTAAAGAATCATTTATAATTGACACTGATACTTTTTACGAGAAAGTACTTTTAGTGAATAAACATACTTTTGCTTTTCTCTGTTTTGTACACTTTTGCTCTTTCTCTGTTCTGTAGTGTGTATATGTTTTCAGCTTTGTTAACATCACCATCTTCCTTTCCTCTCCTCTCTCTTGTGTATAATCGGGAATGCGCTGCACCCGGCTCGGTAACCTGCCTATTAACCCAGTGGATGCAGCACTCCTTCGGGGATTGACTGTGGCAGTGGGCGCAGCACCCCCTCCTCCATTAGCACTGTTAGCTCCATCTGCCCCACGGAGCTGAAAGCCGTGTCTAAGATGGCCCCTAACATTCCCCTGGAAATGGAGCTTCCCGGTGTCAAGATTGTACATGCCCAGTTTAACACACCTATGCAGTTGTACTCAGATGACAATATCATGGAAACACTGCAAGGCCAAGTTTCTACAGCTCTGGGGGAAACACCCATAATGAGGTAATTGGAGCAGTATGTTTCATAGTTATGAATACGGAAATTTAAAACATACAGAAATTTGTGAGCTTTAATATTATACTGGTTCTAGGAGGATGTATAAAAGGATTACAGAGAAGCTTTTTCTTTTTTTGCATTAAAATACAAATAATCCATGATTTTTTWAACCCAAAGTATTTAAGGAGTCTTTCAGTATTTACCAATAAATACTTCATATGCTATAACCTTGTATTTGTAGCTAATTATAGAAGCTGACGGTACTAYCTGCACTGTCAGCTAAATGATCACTCCAAGACGCTGATTCCCTCCTCAAATTTACAACTATTTTTTATTTTTACCATAATCAGTAATTATTTAACAACAATTTAATGACTTATTAATAAGAAAAGCAATAGCATTAACTCCAAAGGATTTGAACTGTTGAAATGTAAGTTATGAATCTCTGAAAATCTTGTAGATGTTAATAGGATCCTAGTTACTTATTTAACAATGATGCAGTACAACTCATTCCATACCACTAGTTCTTATGCAAAAGGAGCCATTATTAACTTTCTAGTATGACTAATTGATCGCTGTAATAGTCAAAAGCTGACTTATGAATTTTGTCCARTGCAACAGGTAATGTAGGAAGATAAAGTGCAGATAAAGATGAAGATCAGACAACAGAAAACTCTAAAACTCTAATCCTTCTTTTTTTTTTTTTCAAAGCACTGTTCACATTCCTTTAACTTTTGCATCATCTTTTCTGTTTTACAAAAGTATTTAAGTTAATAATTTATAATGTAAATAATGTAAACTAAAGCTAACTAATAATAGTTTAAATAAGAAGTATTAATCATTGGCACCTCAATTAAGAAGGATTAATCACTGGCACCATAGAGCCTTCTTCAGCACCTTGCAGATTTGGTCTGTTACTAACCATAAAAATCAACATTACATTGAAGCAGATAAGTTTATGCAGATCTCAAGAAAGCAATGCTGAACTTCATGAAATATTTGCCATGATTATATTACTCTATTGCGTGATTATTTATCCTCAATCATAAAAATTAGAGAAAAAAATCCAACTTGCTTTTTCTTTATTCTGAAATAAAGTTTGGAGGCCAGAGTAATCASATTTCACAAACATCTATGATATTCACAGTTAATAATTCACTCTGTATAGCTCTGAAATGTTTCTTTTGTTTTGGGTTTCCTCTTCATTATTTATGAACTTTGAAATGTTATTTCAAGCACTGTCTGATAAGTTCTTTTGCTTTAGGAACATAATTTTATATTGCTTGTTAGTTTAGTTTTTAGAATATTGGTATTTTAAAGAGAAAACTTCTATAGATTACAAGCTTGTAATGATAGAAGCTAATAGTGTTTACTTCACCTGTTTCAAAATGGCTCAAAGAAATATGGTTAGTAATGAAGATGAAAGCAATTAACACAACCAACAGTAGTCATAACCTAGCTGCCAAACTCCTGATGCTATCACTGTGTCATGTTAGTCTGGATACGACCTTGAAAAARAAGAAAAAAGCCATGAAAGCCAAAAGCCAGTGTATTTTGACCTTTCTAATTAGTCTCTGYGGCGGTAAGAAGTTTACAGATGGTTTGTGTTCAGGTATTCCATCAGTACRTGTAGTCACCTTCTCTTCCCCTCAACTACTCAAAATGTTATTATTATTATTTCAAAACATGTAACACAGTTTAATGTACCATGAAACATTCTTCATAAAGTTTGTGAATAATAAGCTCACGARTCAATGGAAATTCAACCATGAAGTCAAGTAAGTACTAATTATCTTAGTCAGATAATCTCTGTATTAACTAGTGATAGAACCAAATTGGTGATAGAACCGGAAGTGAGAACACCATCATGATACTCTCCTGAAAGATTCATTTCTTTAGATTTTGGCTGATCCCATGTAAAGCTATAAGCTTTGATTTTAACCATGTTGCTGAGGTCAACTGCTACAAAAATGGATTTTTTAATACCACAGAATAGCACAAAAGACCAACTGGTAGTGCAGCAGCTGATCACAGGAATGCAACCACTTAGAGGTTTAGCAACAGGCCATGGCATATTTCAAGCAGCCATTAGAGCCAGAACAGCGATTATGGAAATACTGTTTCGGGTTTGTAGGTTTATCTTTGTTAGAATTCCAACGCTACCTATTTTCAGTGCATTTGATCACAAGAGGACTATACAAGCAATGCTATGGTAGGAAAAAATGTCTTTCAGTAGTTCTAGAAACTGATTGTCTTGTTTACTGAAATCATATTCTGTGTCTGGTACAGCTAACTGCTTTAAAGTTATGTTTGATAATTGTTTTATTTGCTGTTTCTCCTTATGATGCAGCGACCCGGCTCCCACCTCAATACCTCAGTCTGACGTGTACAGGATGCTGCACGGYGGCCAGGAGGAGCCCAGTCAACCCCGCCAGTCTGGCTCCTTTAAAGTGCTCCAGAATTTAGTCTCCGAAGAAGGTGATTTTGTTCAAAGCATTGTTAGTATGCGTGTGGGAAAAGAGAGTCTGAGAAGAAAACGAGAGAGATGAGAGCTGTAAGAAATTCTGAAAGCCTAAGTCTATGGTAGATAATACACCAGCCTCCTAATTTTCTCCCCTTGTCCTCATAGCTATCGATGTCCTSTGGGAATAAAATGGAGGCGTTAAAAACATTTTCAGAATCCCTTCTCACATTTTAGCACTGTTAATATGTAAAGCTGATTTAAACTTAATTGGTAAATACCAATGATATGAGGGAGAGGAAAAAAAAAAAAAGTTATCTCCCACATCCTGGAAAAGAGAAATTTAAACTAGATCCTGAGATAAGTTTCACACATCCCCTTTTCATTATAAATAATACTTTTTTCATTCTAAATAAWAATTGAAGAAAGCAAAGCCATTTACAGTCACGATTCTTTCAAATTATGAGGATTTTGAAAATCATTAGGAACATTATTAAAGGCTACAAGTTTGTTTAATTTATAATGAGTAGAAATAATAAAATATAAATAAAATTAACCTAAAAAGATTTTGCATCTTTTTACCAGAGAAGAGGTAAATGAATCTATTTCTTTATATATATATTTCTGTGAGATTTTGTTTCACATTTTCTTATTTTTTGCTATAATATTATATTCATATCATGTCACTAATCTGATATACATTGGACAAGTTTATGTAATCTCAATTTACTGTTGGGTTAGTTACACAAATAAGAATTAACCTTTTCAGCAATAGAACTTTACTGATGTGCTATGTTACAATCAAATCCTTCTCTTTCTTTTGTTATACCAAAGGCCTACTGTAGATAAGTAGCTAGTTAGAAGATGTCCATAAGGCAGCATTGAAGAAGGAAGGCAGATTGGTCATGGAGAGTTTTTTTATTTATAATTCCTGCTTTTTTGGTACAGCTACAAAATCTTCTTTGCAGGTCCAAAGGCATGGGATCTATGCTACTAAACTTACACAGAGTAACTTTATTGTTAGTTGATATAAATGAAAGCCTATAACTAAAATCAGAATTAAATATTTCCAAAATGTTTTGCTTCTCAGATGGACGTCCCATGGGTACAAGAAGTGTGAAAGCACCTGTAACAAAGATACCTACTGGCACCGCAAGTGCCCAGAAAGTGCCACTGTGTGACAAATGTGGAAATGGCATTCTGTAAGTTGCTCCTTTTTAGTTATAAAAATCTCAAGTTTAAGCACTTATTTTAAAAAACACCACCACAAAATGAACGAATATTTTCAAAGTGATGATCTCAGTCTAGCTGAAAAATGCTTCTGGAGAACAGAGACATTAGAACAATTCTAATGTAATATGTTCATAAGCACGAACCTTAGACATTAATGCAGATAAGTCAGTCCCAGTGATGGACCATAAAAGCTTCAGTTAAGATGCCTCAGGACCTTTTGCAAGTCAGTTTAACAGAGAGAATGAAACTAGCAGTTACTTTTACTAAATTTATAATACATATAGTATATATGTAACATGCAGTTTATAGATTCTCAAAATTGCTTAATAGCATAAAGTATCCTTCTAACAATCTAATGAGAGTTTCTAGGATGCTTTCTGAGCCTACTTTGAACCTACAGATAATGAGCTCAGACCACAGCAAGGAAATGTTTTTTAAACTTGTTTTGTCACCTTTTGATTTTTTAGACCATTCTTTCTGTGTTATCACTGAGATTTGGCTTTCCAACGAACTATGGAGTTCTCAAAATATTTATGGCTTTTTATATTGCACTTATTCAAAATCAATTTTTAGCCTCCAAATATATTTGCAGCAGTTCACAAACCACCAGATGAATTACCTAAAGGCCTTAACATAAACACCTAGAACTTATATTTTCTCATACTGCAGTTTCTTCTCACTTAAAATTCCAATGAATTTATTTTTATTTTCTCTTTTTTTATTCTTTCCAAATAGAGGGACTGTGGTGAAGGCTCGTGATAAGTACCGGCACCCAGAATGTTTTGTTTGCTCTGACTGCAATCTGAACCTGAAACAAAAGGGCTACTTCTTTGTGGAGGGACAACTATACTGTGAAGCTCATGCACGAGCTCGCATGCGACCACCGGAGGGATATGAAGCAGTTACTGTTTACCCAAAATGCTAGTCTTRCATTAACACACAAATCTATGCATGCACACGAGAAGTCGTTAACAGCTTAGAACAGCAATCCACTGTCAGGACTTCTGTCTGAATCCAAATCAAAGCAGCTATTTTACCAGAAGAGAACAAAACCAGTTGGTCATGTCTGCAAAAAACATCTATTATTCAATTATTATTAGTGTGCCAAATATAGACTTTGCTTACCTTGCTTTGGATTTGGGATTTATTTACTTAATTTTCTGATGCAAGAAATGTAATAAGGAACTACTTGATACAATAGAAGGGCTAGTATAATAAAAACCTCTAGTAAAAAGCAAAATAGAACTTCTATGTTGTTTTAATGATTTGCAAAATGCAATGAAATCAGCTTTCACTTCACTTAGCAGAAAGTTGTTGAGGCACACGCACCCATTAACTGTTCATGGAAAACAATTTGTTCTCTAAATTAAGAATGAAAGTAAATGTAAAAGCTTTTCCCTGGGAATGGTAGTTTTTGCCTCTGAATCATTCAATTCTCATAATAGAAATGTTAAATTAAAACTTAAGCAAATTTACTAAGTTTTATGTCAAGTGTACAAGATTAATAGATTAGTTATGAACCACTTCAGTGGCAAGCAATCATATATCATTTTCCCATTCTAAAATATAAGAGGCTTAAAAAGTAAGAAAACCGTGAAATCAAAATAAGAAGCTGTATATACCTTAAATTTATTCTAAAAAATCAGATGCTTCCCAAAGGTGCAAATACAATGTCTACATAGTCAACATTTTCAAGTTGCATTAAAGTACTATTCCAGGATTAAGTCATTTTAAAAACRTGTGTATCACTGCATATACGTCTGCATAACAAAAGCATATAGTGATGCACCTTTATGTAATTCTGTTCCTCACACATCAAGGAGGCTATATGTAGTATTTATAGTTTTCTACTGATAAAGTCCATAAACTAAATCTGAAAAACYTTTTGAGGGTAAGAATGCACATAATGCACATAATGTCTATTTTTACAAACCTGAAACATCATTGGTGTTTTAAAGTAATTGCTTGATGTTCATTTCTTTGTGGAGTGACTGAAGGTAAAAATAAATCTACTACATATGATTAAGATTCTGGGTTGTTTTTTTTTTCCTTTGGTATGAGAAATGAGCAAGTGTGAGTGTCAAGTGATTTAACAATAATAGAAGTTTGGCATATTCAGCATCTGAGTATGCCTCAGATGTATCAAAACCTCTGGCATGAATGAAACACAATTTTAATATTAAGCATTTCAATAGATAATCTGGGCTTACTTAGCTTCTAAAACTGAAACTGAAAAACAGAAATTGCCTGTCTCTAACAGACCAAGCATACTCTCAGGAATATAGCTACAAAAACTGTCAGGTTAAAAGAAAGTCACAGAATACAACCTGATGCCAAATCTTTGAGGAAGTTCAGTTTGCATTGCATCATGATATGGTGCTATTTTAAGAGGTTGGAAGACTTTAACAGAACGAGAGAGTAAGCATATCTAATTGCAAGTATCAACCCAATGTGAAAGCCTTTAAACCAGTACACAGAAAAAAAAGATTTTCAATTTATGCAMATTATAAAACCCTTGGTCCTGATAGAGGAGAAAAACAAGAAATTTTATCCTGCAGTCTTTTCAGTCTGGGGAAATGAAAGATAAAGGAAATCTCATGTTCAAGGCCACATTTTTATCTCAGCAGGGCGTCAGTAGTTCCCAGAACAATTTCTTTACAAAGTGTCCAGCTAAAGAACTGTTCACTTTATCCACTGGCTTAAGAATGACATAGTCAGTAAATCCGGATAGCTTAATGCTACAATGTCACACAGCTATATCCAGATTTCTTATAAATATATACATATATATATACACACACACACACACACACAAGCTGTAGAGAGCTGTGGCATTTATTTTTAGGTGGAGAGAAAGATACTAAGTATGATTTCACATGCTTGTTATCCAAACTCTTCAGATGTCGATCAACAGGTGTGAAATAGCAGGGCTATTCTGGGAGAATTGAAAAAACTTATATGAAGCAGTAATTCTGCTTCACCAAAACTGTGTCTGAAGGTATATGGATTAATGAAAGGTTGTTTTTGCATCTTCTAAGGCAAACGCTTTTGCTCTCAGTTAAAACTGAAGTATTATCAACAATTTGAAATCTAAAAACTTTTTAAGAGTACTTAAAAGAAACTATGCAGTTCCACTTGCTCCATAACTTTTAAATTTTTCTATTATATATGCAAGCATATGCTACAACTAACCATACATAGGCACAAGCTATGTGAGTGCACAAGCTGGTGTCCATTAGGATGAAATGGAGCTGGAACAAGCTCTCAAGGCACACTGGTAGTGCACACCGATTGCTACTGGGAACTCAGACCACCGAATCAAACCAGAGCTAAATAACCTCCCTATAATGCAGACATCAGGTCCTCAGTACTAACTAATCTGCTCCTACTGCAACACACTGCCTGCCTGAGGTTTTTCTTGTCACTTTTATAAATTAAAAGATTCCTAACTGAAATGAAATTACTGATCATGATTAAAACTAGAGATAGATCCAGTCTGCAGAAGACGGAAGAAAACTTCAGACATAACAAGATTCAGAGAAGTTTGGTCAAGACTTCTGTTTCAAATTTCTAGGAACAATATAAAAGGAAACAAGCATACAGTTAGATACAGATCTGATTTGCATGTAAAATATAGCTGCTGGAGTTAAAGTCTRCCTTAAGGGGGCTTCTTTAACCCTCAGCACTGCTATACTTCAACTAAGACTAAAATGGATACATTTCTACTTTTAAAGTACGTAAATTTAAACATGCTTTCTAAGAGTTGTTGGGGAGTATGTTAAAACCTTCACATATGAGRCACTTGATTAAGACTTTTGATTTGACCTTACAATTATTTTCAAGGATTAAACCTCATTCTTCTGTTTGCAGGACTTCTGTGCTGCTCAAGTATCACTGCTCTGGACCTCTTGCACCTTTTCTTAGAGCAAGAGGATTCAAAACTATAACCACCTGCGATGTATAAGATGGAAAGTGTAATTGTTTCAAAGTCAGATTCTTCCCTAAGATCTACCTTGTATCACTTCATTATTTAGAAGAAAAGTGTGTATTACAAGAGTACTCAAAAATGGCCCCACTGCGCCTAGCATTATATAAAAATAAGAAATAATCGCTCCCCCACAGCTTAAAATCCAGACAAAGCAGACAAGGCAGTTTCAGTACAGAAGGGAAAATACACAATAAAATGGTGAACAATATGAACATTTAAAAACACTGTGTTCTTTTGCTTTTTCCTGATAGAAAGTGGTGAGGTGATGTTGAAATAAAAGAGCTGTAAGAGTTACCAAGTGAAATAAAGGCATAAATACCATGGAAAACATTCAGTACAAAGAAAGAACACACCAAGTACCTGTTACTAGTGGTACACCAAGACTCCGGCATGTAAAGTCCTTATATCAGCTGATCATGCTGTTGGCTAGTCCCTAACAATTTGTCTTTTCCCTAAACTCCAATAAACTGCAAAAACAAGAGACTTTGCAGAGGCCCTTATTCTACTAACAGGACTAGTTCTTTACACTTCTATTTGACATGTTTGTCACAAGTTTGACTATAATGCAATATAATCACAGTCTTGGGGATTTAGTGAAAACTCTTTGACGGTAATACAGGATTATATCTATAAGAATGTTCACTTATTTCTTCTCTGCCTTCATAATGCATGTACCCTTTCCTATTTTCACTGTGATTTGTTATGAGATCCTTCTCTTTGCATGCATATAGCACATAACTCTGTTAAAATGCCTTTTATGTATGCATAGCCCACTCACTGCCTAATAACAAGTGACCTTCCAAAATCATGAACTACTCTCTTCTCTGACACAGTATGGAAGACAACCATTTCAGAGATGATGCACAGGAGCAGTGAGATACAGTACCCTCTTTCCTTACAGGTACACACCAGAAGCTAATGAGATAAAATCACTTTATCAAGCATAGTGTCTTAATGCCCTCATGACACAAAGGCTGTTCTTCAAAAGTCACACCTAAACACAGATGCATTTTTTGATGTCTGTTACCATAAAATAGTATCAGCTACCGTACTCCCCCAGGCAAAAGCCAGGACTGACTACTAGCATCCAGGTAAATAATGAGTTGTCAAGTCAGGTTGCAGTATTGCACTGGATATTGTTACAGTTTGCCAAAAATTTATTAAATTAAATTTCATGGAAACAGTCCTTCCTCCTAAATGCTTGAAAGAGTTCAGACTCCTGTCCTCTACACACTAGGAAAAAAAACAATATAGTAATCTGGAAGTCAAACAATTGATCTCTTTCGCTCAACTCTAAGGTCAGACAACATTCCTAACTGTCTGACCTTTTATCTTAGTCCTACCAAAAGTAGAGGCTACTGGACACATTGTAGAAATGAATTAGTAAAGTCCTAACGTGGACAATGTGGTAGATTCGTTCATATACATAAAATTCAGCAAGCTTGCCACCAAAATCTAGTGGCAAACTTTTTTTTTTTTTACTCTCTTTTTTAGTACCATTACTATCATGATAAGTGGATTTGTCTTAAACAACCCTGACCTTGATACTTCGGTCCTCCCTGAAAGACATCAGTTTAAGTGCATTCGAGAGTAGCTCTGACTCACATACTGCTTCTCAGGTTACTGGACCAAACTAACATCTTCAAATCTTTAATGTAGTCTAGCTCTGTGGTCAGCCCATCAGAGCCTAATGACTCACATGCTCAAACACTTACCATTACAATGTTTTAATAAACCTGCCTAGGTTGCACCTGTTCAAAGGTTTGTGGAATGAGTCCACTCATCATCTGACAATAATCAAGAGGTGACAGCTGCACTTGTAGCTGATTCTAATATTTCTATCGTATTTAAGGGCTCTGACAAATTTAATCAGCTGTTCACATTTAACCCAGATTTCCTGAAGAAGCTCATGGCACTATTAAGTTGTAGGACATACAGTATCAAGGTAGGTTGGTCTCAAACACTGCAATGATGAGGACACTGAACACTGCAGTGTTTCAAGACAGATTTTTCTTTTTTTAACAAAAGCAATCAGTGAACATTTTTGGTGACTGTAAGGCTTGCTTTAAGATAGGTGCAATCAGTGTCAGATTTTAGTTAAGGAAAGCACTAGCAATCCCTGGCAATCCTTGAACACTCCTATTAAAAGAATACTTAATGTTTCTCTAAAGCTTTTCATGAGATGGTATTTGAGTAATGAGTAATTTGTAAAGTATTTTTCAGTATCATTAATGAGGGGGAGTGTGTCCAGCAACAGCTTTTGAAAAGACACCTTTTTTTTTTTTTTTTTTCTGTATGTTAACTACTAATCATACCTGCTTTTTGGAATCATCATTCAGAAGAATAGAAGGGAAAAGCATAGTTCCAATCAGGTCTTCAAGAAGTAACAATATACTTTCATCTTAGAGAATGCCAACTCAAAATGACTACCTGTAAGACGTAAGAGAAAAATTCTTAAAAGGAAGTGAGCATAGGATTCACACTCAATGTTTCCCCGTCCCTCTCACAAAGGAGAGGGTTTTCAGCCAGTGTAGTTCACCTACCTCTCTTTCCCTGCAATCTGACCAGTCAGACACATATTTGTGTCATATGATTCATTTTTCCTACCAAAGCCTTTAACGTGACATTAGGCATCACATTTACCCATGACAGCATGTCCCAGCTTGAAAGGATCACTGGCCCTCAGCTCTTAAAGCAAACAGCAGTGGAGAAGGTGAGCAGGTCACCGCAGGTATCACACATACCTACTGTGGTCCGCCCAATCCCATTTGGAAATGAAGGCCAAGACTCTCCTCTGCACACATTAACCTCCATCACCTATACAGAGAACCAGAGTCTGTGCAAAGCCAGTTAAAGATTGTCCCTGTTTGCTGCCTTAGTTCTTTTTGCTCTTGTGTATACAGGCTGGGATGCTTTCCAACCTTCATTTTTACAATTACATTGAGTCTTCTTCTACCAGGCTTATCATATTTGATCACCACTAAAATTTGATACTGAATTATGGACTCTGTAAGCTCTTCCAAGCTAGCTCAAGAGCATAAAAATGTAAAGAATGTATCATAACCTTCTCTACCTCTTTGCCATTTAAAAATAGTACATTTTGAAAGGTTTGTTCTTTCTTGGACTACACTACTCAAATTCAGTAGTGCAGTCTCATAACTGACAAGCTTGTCTTTGACTCATGTAACTGCATGCTGCTAATTAAATCTGACACCTTTCAGAATCCTGACTTACTCATTTTCTCCTTTTACCTTTTAGTGTCTCCTTAAGGAGTTCTTAAGTTTTGTCCAATTATTGCTCCATTTCTGAAAAGATTCTGATGCACTGTTTTTTTTTCGTCTGCAACTGCTCTATTTTATCTACTCCTTCCTTTCTTCTGTTTCTCTGCTTTGCAAAGCTTCTGTCTGCTTTTGCCAGCATGTCTTTTATGTAATTTTGAGTGGTATTTTGATGAGAAATCTGTTGTGCAATTAAGGTAATTCTGTATCATAAAAACAAGCAATTAAAATATTATAGAAGAGGGTTCATAAGGGAAGAAAAGGCAGCTTCATATATCTTCATTGGCTGCTACCTATAGACCTCCTGGTAATACTGAAYAGACTTGTGGTATATGTAAATCCACACGCACACATCAGTGCAAGAGCTCACAGATCTTAACATTTCCATGTTCTTTGACAATGAAAATTCAGTATTTTGAGAAATTGGATTTGCTTGCATATCTTAAGGACAAAAAAAATCCTAAACAAAAAAAAAATCAAAAACCACTATTGAAATATTAAGGACTAATCATCTCTCCACCAGTTACTCCCAGTAAAAGCTTCTGACTCCAGTCTTTTCTTGGAGTGCAGTGCTGAACCTTTGAAGCCCAGTGTCACTAATGTCAGAGCAGGATCCAACATAAACAGAAATTGTAAGTAGAGAAAAAAATTAGTGTGGCAGTGTGCACCATGTTGTGCACCATAACCACAGACTAAGGCTTTATGCCACAAAAATTGAAAAAGAAAAAAAATGGAGGGGGAGTTTGAAGAGTAGGTAGCTAAATATAATATTTGCATATTTGTAGCTGTTGTTGTGTAATAGTCCTGGGCTAATTCCAGGATGAACTGTTRATGAACTTCAGCTGTTCATCAACAGGTGTGAGATGGGTTCACTAATCTTAAAAACACATCTGACCTATTTAGAGTATCTGAAAACCTTGACTCTTAAAGCTCTTAAGGACTCTCTTAAGGACTGACAGTCATGGTCCCAACTTTACTCTCTTATCTACGTAATTGCAAGCTATCCTTCCATAGARATGTTGATATTTTCCATTATCAACATGTTTTCCTCAGCTGAATTACAATCTTCTGATGCTATAAGTTCATGTGCAGTCTTCTGGATCAAAACTTTATGATGATTAGTGCCATGACAGTGTATAAAAAGGAAAAAGCTCTGAAATTTCTTCAGCATCAACCACCACAAAGGCTAGTTAGCAAAGTATACTATGTATTTATCCACTTTCTTCATACCTATTAAAAAAAACAGAAATAACTACATACAATTTGAATATAGAATAAAATTTTCCACTTGCATTCAATCTTACATCAATAAATTCCACCAACCAGATGTTTAGCTTTTATATAATACTGGATTTTTAAAACGTATACTTTCCTCTGACTAGGTTTGTTACAAAACCGTTAACACCTTGATCCAGGTAAAGCTTAAAATTTAATTAACTTTATGCCTGGTAGTACTGCTTTCCCAAAGAACATCAAAGCTCTACGTTTGCAACTGCTTTTGTTACCAGACTTTTCCCATATATGTACAGTTAGAAGTGTTACAACTGAGCTATGAGGAGGCTTAGGCTTTTACAAGTCTTAGCAAATGTAAATAAAACTACAGGCTGTGCTCACCAGTTATTTAATTGCATGGTGTACTCACATGAGTACAGGCTCCTCAAAATGAACACCTGCTTTATTACTTCAAGCAGGTATCACAGAAAATAGGTAACACCAAATAACAGTGAATATTGTCCATATAACATTTTAGGGCTCTAGCTATTTAGGGAGAGAATCCTTTTCCACAAAAGAATGCAATGTTATTGACACAACTTGTTTAAATTAAATAATGCATGGCAGAATATTACATTCAAATTTGAAGGGCAATCAATGTCAGATGGGCAAAAAGCAAGCCCACAAAGAGAGACAACTCAAGGAAATCTGTGCAATGAAAACTTAAATACCAGGGCGSGACAGGGGGGAAGAAAAACCACTCGGCACGCAGCAACATTTCCCTCACATTTCCCAGAGCTGCTTTTGAACCCAAAGCTGAGCCAAAGGCTGAGCCTGGACACCTCGCAGCTCTGGGGATACCGGCGGGACAAGCTATGATGCCCCTATAGCGGGACTACACCTCAACCCGCCCGGTCCCCCCCCAAAAAAGGCAGCAACTCGCTGGTGGCAGCAGAGGGGTTTTGCGCTGCTTGCCGCCTTGCTTCAAGCACTCACTTCGCAGCCTCCGTGCGCGGCTCGGGGCGCCGGGAGCACCGAGCTGCTACTGCTACCGCCGCGCCGCGGCCAGCAGCTCCAACGACTGTAACGGTTCCAACGGCCGCTCGCGCGCGGGCGCACGCGCGGCGCCAGGGGGCGCTCGCGGGGCAGAAYGCGGTTACCTGGCAACGCCAACGGGCGGCGCAGGGCGGAGGCCGTTGGTGCGGGCGGGCGCGCGACATGCCGCGCGGCGCCGGATCTAGTGAGTGGCGTCCGCGCGGGCGGCGCGAGAAGCGGCGTGGGCGGGCGCGACGGGCGCCGCCTGCCCGTAGGCGAAGCGCCGTTCCCGCCGGCTCCAGCGCCCCGCATCTGCAGCGCTCCTGTGTTTAACTTTCAGGCAGCACCACAGCGGGAGCAGAGGAGCCGATTCCCCCACCAACAGCCCTGCACGTAAGCGGACTAGACGCCAAGTTCCCCAACACTGAGCGCTGAAGCTCAGATGGGCCAGCAGACCTGGGCACCTAGGGTGGTCAGTGAACATGAATGAGCTAATAGGAATATAAATACAAGTGACCACACCACTTTGCTAAGTGTTTGATAATGCAGAACAGCAGGATTCCCAAATTCTAATCCTAGGGTCAGTCCAACCCTGAGAGACAATCTCTGGCCTGGAAGGATGAGYTCCACCACGGGCACGTTCCGAATTCGGTTTCAGTACAAGGGCTGAGAGCCCTAAGCAGTGCCAGGTACCATGGTGCGCRTTAGTGCTGGGAATAAGGTGCCCATGAAGCGCTATGCCGGAATCCTCTGGGACTGCAGCTGGTGACTAAATGTCCTCTGAGGAGTCGCTCATGGGCTGGGTAAAAGCAAGTTTAAAACTGGAGAATAAAAAAAYTGACTTTGACTGAAGAAAACATCCCAACTCACTTCAATATTTTAATAAAATGTACCATTTTTTTCCTGAYATTTACCTTATACATTGCAGATTCTGCAGCAACAGCTGGAATCCTTTAAAACTCTTCGGCAACAGATTCTGGAGAATGTTAACATGGTAAAAGCAGGTCCCAAATACTCTTAAAATAAATAAAGATAGAAGCTGCATCCTCATGAATTTTTAGATACTGCCATATGTATTTTAACTGCGATCTAAAATTATTTTAGGATTGTTATGCACATTCACTATGTTCAATCATCTGCTAATCCTAAAACAGCTAATAAAATAATCTATTTACATGTTCTTGTTGTGCCCTAATCATAGTATTATTTGAAGGCTTAGAAAGACTAAGAAAAAGTAAGAGAAACCTATAAGGAGAAAGAAACATAGCAGGGAAAAATAGGAAAGGGATAGATACCCTTTGTATCACTATAAACTCAGGGAAGCTCTGTTTTCAAATAACTTGATTCCACTTTATGTCCCTGTCAGCAGACAACTGTTTCAAACTGCCCTGCTTCACACAGTGCTTGGAGCATTTTTATGCCTTCATTTTTTCTTATTCTTTATGTAGAAACAATAACTCTGATGCTGGAAGGATACATTGCACATTTTAGGTTATATGTAATTCCATATTCCTCAGCACTTCCATCCAGTCTGTCTCTTCTAAAAAAGAACTTACTGATAAAAATAGGATTTCCTAAAAACTAATTTTTTTTTTTCTGATCTCAATTTTTTCCAGGTACAGTCTGCAATCAGTGAGATACTAAATAAAAATATAATTGAAATGAAAACTCCACAGTGTAGCTCAGGCAAGATACTGATGATTGGCACACCAAGTGATGTATGTCTGGTACGTTCACCAATTTTTACCTACAAACAAGTTTCTCTTTGAAGATGTTGCTGCATTATGGGTTGTGAGAGTTGCATGTTTTCTGGAAAGTAACCCAAAGGATATCGTGGGGACAAATAAAATAGTATCTTCTCCCTGAGGCTTCTCTCTGTAGTACAACTCTGATAAAATTCTGCCACAAAAGAATCCTCAAAGTCTTGGGAAGACCCACGTAATGGTTAAAGCTCAATTTATTTTCTGCACAGGCAAGACTTTATTTAATCAGCTCACTTGGATTATATTTAATGGACATGAAATGCAACACAAGGAGTATAGGGAGGCAGAGTTCAGCATCAAGAAAAAAAGAGGAAGGAGAAGATCGAATAAATGTTGTCCTTGCCCTATGAAATGCAGCATTAACCCCACTTTTTCTGCCGACTTAGTGTGAACTCCAGGATTCCTTTATTTCATAGGGCATGGGATTATAAAACAATCATTTATACCTGTAGTCTGTTAGCTCTCTTCAGTCATCTCTCACTGCATAAAATATTTAATATTAATTTGATTAAAAGTGGTTTTCTTATGTTTCCAGTGCCTTTTTTCTTTTTCACAATTCTTACAGTATAACAGGTGTTTGTTTGTTTGTTTGTGGGTAGCCTGCAGAAGAAAATCCTGAATCATCATTTTCTAATAATGAAGTTCATCATGATCAACAAGCTTGTACTGACGGGCATGTGGAAGCAAACTGCAGTACTGGAAACATGGTCAGTGATATAAAAATAACACACAGTATTTCACTGAAAACCATAGCAACTGGAAAGGTAAAAAATTCGGAAGATATAATGGGAAACACAATACTCGCACTAAAAAATGAATATAAATGCCATTTGCTACGTGACACGGAATTAGAGACAGAGAGCTTAAATGCTGCCCATGAAAAGGTAATTTTGAATGAATCTAAACTTTCCATACTTTCTCCCACATATGGCAAAGAATTTTATGTAGCAGACAACACTAACTGTCCTAACAAGTCATCAAAACAAGAATTTCAGAAGTCAGACGATAATGATTCTGATTTGTTAGAACATGATATAGTAAAATCTGGCATTTTATGCAGAGCAAAATTAAATAACATTAAATCAAAAGAAACTCCTGGAATGGCAGACTCTTTAGACAGATCACATATTGTTTCAGTTTCACATAAAGAAAGTGACCTACATCTTGATCAAGAATTTTATAAGGACTCCAAATGTGTCAACACATGGAGTTCTTCTCTAACAGCATGCAGGGAACAAACAGATTCTGAGAGCAAAACTGTGCAGAAAGAATTTCAAAGCAATTACAGTGAGGGTGACAGTTTCCAAGTTAATTTTTTTTCCAAAATGGTGAAAGATGAGTTAGTAATGCTTGATCATAAAAAGCATCTAGAAAAAGAACAAAATCTGAGTATTTTAAATGAAACATTACTAAGGTTTGAAAATCAGAAGTTCACTAAAATCAAAGTACCCTCTGAATGTGATGAGAAAACTGAAGAGTTGCAGAAGTCCCTGAAAAATTCTGAGCATTTGCAAAACAGAGTACATGATCTTGAGACTGAAAATCTGATTCTCAAGAACAAAGTGAAACCTCTTAATATTACAATACATTCTTTGAAAGAAAAAATATCAAAATGCAATAAGCAAATTCATGATTTAGTTGAAGAAAAGAAAAGGATGCAAAGCCAGTTAGTCAAATCAGAAGATGACAATAAGGAAAGCGTTAAAGAAGTAAAGAAGCTGTTAAGCAGATGTGAAGAACTCCAGAATCAGAAAAAAATCCTTGAGGAAGAGAGAAGTCAACTCTATAATGGAAACCAATGTACAATACAAGCACTACATGATTTTCAAATTAAGAACCAGAAAGCAGAGGAAGAGATGACTGTTGTTACCTGTGAAAAAGAAAGGCTCAATGCAACATTAGAGTCCTTGCAGAAGGAACGTTCTATGTTACAAGAAGCAAATAAAAAACTTCAGATAGACACATCCCAGCTTATGAAAGAAAAGAATTCCCTAGAGGAAGAGCTTGAAAGAAATCAGAGCGAAATACAGCAAATGAAAGAAAAAGAAACTGCAACAAAATCTGAACTGCAGACCCTTCTTCAGTTAACACAGGCACTAGAGGACAAAAAAAATAACCTTGAAATGACCCTGCAAGAATGTTCTAATACTAAAGAGATGCTGCAGAAGGACTTTGAGAAGGTTCAGTTTGAAAAAGCTCGTACAGAGAAGAAGCTCATGACTGAACTCCGATATGCAAAAGCAGATATTGATCTTCTAAAATCTGATTTGACCATTGCAGACAGAGAACGCGAGAGGTTATCAACGGCAATAACTAACATCACTGAGGAAAACCAGTTACTTAAGAAAGAGCTGCAGGAGTACAGACAGGGAGCTTCCAAATACGAGAGTGACATTAGAAAGCTGACTGAAGAACGCCTGCTGCTGGAGAACCACCTGCGGAGCGTGGAAAATGAGCGCGACGTCCTGCAGTTCGAGTTCCGCCACCTGCACAGCGATTACACTTATCTCCGCGGCCGAGCGGCTGCCCTGGCGCGTGGGCAGGGCAAACCTGGCCACACTTCTGGCATCATGCAAGATAACTGCTGCTCTGAACCTTCCCCTGCCATTCCTGATCCAAAGCATGCCACTCTGGAATGCCGGTCACAAGGTAGGCAATAGCTTTTGCAATACAGCATTTTGTTTGTCTYTTTGTTTTCTAACTTCATGCTTCTAACTTCACCATTTGGCCCCTTCATCCCTTCTTTTTGTTAGTAAGACTATTACCAACGCTGTATTTTACTTCAGGTTTTAACTAGAAAAAAATATAGTTTGGTTATTGCTACCGTTAAGTCTGATGCCATGTTAAGAATACCAGAAAAAAAAAAGATTTTTTCTGAAAAAGAGATTCTACAGAATGTATGTATTGCTATAAAGTAAAACCACAATGAGGGTTTAGAAACTTGAGTGCATAAAAAAAGTTTGGAAACTTGACTGCAGTGAGCTCTGCACTGTTCTCTGAATGTGGTAATTCTTGGGTCCTTTTTTTTTGGTTGGTTGGTTCGTTTCCTGTTAATCTACAGCAGGCTCCTGCTTCAAAGAAATTGTAATGAACATTTTTCTTTTCAATTTTAGAATACTGAAATTCAGTCTTTTTTTTGGTTATGTCCTTAGAATGACTATGTCCTTAAAAACAGTTTATAATTTTTTATGAAGTTTCGCAGTAAGGAATTTCCTATCTTTTCATATTTGGCCGAATTCTACTGATTCATGCCAGTAGATCCTTACACAATAAGTGGTCTACAGAAATTTAACTGTGACAGTTTGCAGCAGATGGAATTCTGCCCCTAAGGTTTCAGGGTCAGAAAAGTGTCTTATAACCTGCTAGAGGAACATTTTAATATATACAAACAAACCAGTGACAAACCAGTCGCTTCTGCAAGAAGTCCTAACTTGATTTAACTTCTGCCTACATACTTTTTAGATGACATATAATGCTGGTATAACTTTAATCAACACAAGGCACGCTTCTGTAATAGGCTGGATTGGTTTTTTTTGTTTGTTCATTTGTTTTCCCTAAATTAAGCTTTATACGTTTTAATTAGTTTCCAGTATTCCAGCTTCGTTAGAGAGTGAAATGATTGCTGAAATACAAAAGAAAGTAGAAGAGGAAGAATCAGAAGAGAAGAAGCAAAAGAATGTAAAGAAGAAGCTCAGCGCAGACTGTGCTACATCTGTGCCGAGAGAGGCAGAGCTCAGAACAGCAGCCAGGAGGAAGTACAGAGCAGTTCGGCCCACCTAGGAACACAGAGCCTCGCAAGTTCACCAGTGAACAACCCTGGCATATTTTCCKGACGTTCTTGTAGCATAAAAGGGCCTGGGGTCATCACAAGTACCATCAATAAGTGCATGGTCTCAACAAGAAAGGAAGGAAGTCTCCCTAGGAACAATCCTATGTCCTAGGATTTGAATAGAGAACCATCAAAAATTCTGTATAAATTAATATTTAAAATATTGTTGAGTGCTACTGATCTTGAAGGGAATTTACGCCTGTATAACTCGTGGAAGACCTGGCCTTTTTTTATTTCTTTTTTAGGATTTTCACTGATGTCACAATAACAGTGAAGATACCACTCCAAGAATATTACAGTTGTGAGATAAATCTTTAATAAAAGTGAATGTTGCCTATTATATTGTTGCCTGCATGTAATAACTTGGAAGCATAAATGCTGATTGTTTTAATTAGCTCTACCAAAAAGAAATTTCTTGCAAATCTTGACAAAAATTATGAAGATGTAGGTAAGATACACAGCAGGGATTGTAGTTCCATTTGGAAAGTAGCTACTTTGGAAGACAGTTGAGACTGAGGTTCCTTGCATGCACAGAAAGTGAAGTTAAGCAGCTGTTAGGGCATATGGCAGCACTTAGATTTGCCAGGAGGACAGGTAAGCAGATGCTGGCAAGTAGAGATGACTCCCTTTGTAAAGGGCTGTGCGTGCTCTGATTGTGAACAGCACTTGCTACTGGTCATTTTGAGAAGCTCATCCTACCTAAAAGTTTGATATTTCATAGGATAGTTCTCACACAAAAACAGAGTCAAAAGGGGTGACACAAACATCAAATTTTATTTCTTCCAAAGGGCAACAGTGAAATTAGTTTCACTGTGGATAATAAGTGACTTAGTCACTTTAAAAGATAATCTCTTTCTTCCACTGCAATGTATTGGAATTTTAAAACCTAAGTTACATGCTATAAGGTTTTGTAAAATGTATTTCAGAAAGCATGTTACGCTGTAAGATTTTAAAATAGCTTAACTTAAAAATATAATCTTGACATTAATAAATATATATTTTTAAATATTTATTTTAGATTGAGATTTACAAACCAAAGACTATTCTCAATAATTAAACAGACTGGATTGACCTATGTCCCTTAATTCTACACTTCCTTTTTTTTTTTCCTGTTATTATTTACTTTAAATGTTGACTGGCAAACATATTAAGAGTTTACAGAGCCTAAAAAGTATACTTTATTTCACTGTTTGTACCTAGTACGATGCCAAGCGTGCAGTCTTGTAATTCGTTGCATTTAATGATCTGAAAAATAAATGAAGAGAAACTTATTAGATTTGTGTAGAATATACTTGCACAAAATGTTTTTCGCAAAAGATAAARAACAGGACTATCCCCAATCCTGTAATTAAATTTAATGACTTAGTGCACTGTGAAAACCAATTGATTAACTCTGAGAGCAAAAATTTACACTAGCAAATCCAATTGTAAGATTAGGGTTTAAATGTCATAGAATCATAGAATTATAGAATCCTTAAGGTTGGAAGGGACCTCAGAGGTCATCGAGTCCAACCCAACTTTCTAAGATAAACTTTCTAAGATAAACTTTCTAAGATAAACTTTCTAAGATAAACTTTCTAAGATAAACTTTCTATTGGAAAGAAGACAGAGAATTGTAATTCAAGAGGAAGCTGACATTCTGAAAAAGTATTTCCCAGTATATTTCTTAAACTGTAGGACCTATGAGCTTCATAGTTTTAATAAATGCTGTTCCCATTACATTAAATTTAGGAAACAAAGAAAAAAAATCATTTTTTTAATTGTTTGGAGGGAAATAGTCATGGAGAATTTAAAATGCTAGCTTTAATTTCTCTCCGGAAATTCATTTAGATTTCTGAATTTGTTCTGCCTTTACAAATGAGTACTCAAACACAGCAAGTCTTCATAGTAAGCTGCCTTTCAATTTCAAGATGTACTTCACATACAAGCAATTTTTTTCCAATAAAAGTATCTCATTTGGAAACATGATTTCTTAATCAGTTGGTGAAATAATAATATGAACAATTATACTGATAAAAATGCTAGTCAACCAGTATTCTTCTTCATTTTTAATAAAGGAGCTCTGTGTACATGGAAGGTTATAATTTCTTGCACCAGCATTGCTAGTTGCCGTTTTTTTGGAGTATTTATTATCTTATTTTCAATTAGCAATAAAAGGCAGTGTGGAGTGATATATATCTTCTATTTTGACATTTTCAACTGTCTCTGCAACTTAAAAAGTAATCATGCACATTCAGATACATGGTAAAAGAATGAAATTAAATGACCCAGCAACAGATGGATAAGGAAGCTGTATGTTTTAGACTTCATGTATCGTATATAAAAGCGTATCACAGACATGAAATAGATTCTGCCAAGACAGTCTTTTCAAATACTGATCAATTTCTGCGAGCATGCTTCATGTTACTGTTGGAGCATGAAAAGAAGAACAAACAAACCAAACCAAAGAAACAAAACCACTCAAAATGCAAGAACACCCCCACACACACTTCTGTACTTAGCTCTTCCACATGCAAGTCTTAGAAGTCTGCATTTGGAAGTGATTTCTCTGAATAATTCTAAAGAACATGGTCTTGGTTATCTGCTTGAGTTATAATAGAAGCAAACAGACAGTAAGTTTATTCTAAATATGTTATATATCACCAAGATAAAAATGTAATAAACCCTGTGTTCATGTACATGTACATSTACATGTGTGTACATTCTGTAAAATAAACCCTCGACAAAGAAATTTTAACATTACATAATGATGTTTATGATTAGGATAACTCTTTTGAATCCTGTGGCTTCAAAAATGTCACAGGCCTAGGTTACCTAGAATTCCATTTGCCAGCAGAGGGAGCCAGTTACATTGAATAAACAGACAACAAAAACAAGTTTTGATTTTAACACAGAATACATTTTATATATTTTAGTCTTTTTATATTTAGCAAGTCAGAATAGATTTTAAAACTTATTTTAACATTGGTACAGCCCTTTAAAGTAACCTGGATTTACAAAAGAGAGGAATAAATCTGGAAAGCCCAGTTCCTTTTTCTTATCCTTTTGCCAATAATTAGCTTCTTATAGGGAAAGAAAACCTAATTGCTTTTATATATATTTAATGAGTTAGTTTTAAAAGAGTCATTTACTTTAGATAGTAATAAACAGCTGGGCCATGACTTTTGACTGACAGCATACATGAAAAATTAACTTAAAGCGGCTTACCTTGTGACATTTAAAGTCATTATGCTTTTAATAGGTCTGCTTTTTGGTCCAGGAGGAGGATGAAAAATCTGTCCCCTTTTATTAGCTGGGACTGCCACAGATTTTTTAATTACATAGGGCTCATCAGAATGGCTTGGATAAGGATCAAATGTACCTCCTTTCATGCCCCCTGCCTAAAAAAAAATAAAAAATAAAAAAAAAAGGAGGAAACTTCTCACCATGTCAATTTATAAGGCAATTCAGTTAATTAAAAAATTTCTCATGCAAAAACAAGTATGAATACTGTATATCAGGCTGCATAAAATTACATATAAAAAAATAACATGCTGCTTAAACTTGCATTGGAAGCTCTTAGGAGAAAAAGAGTAATTATGTTGATGAATTCTTGATTGAAAATGCATTTTTATAAGTCTTATGAATTATGAAAAATCTTAAAATTGTGATGGAAAATGCAAACACATAACCCACTAAAAGGAACTATTATACTGTGTATAAAATCGGGCTTGTTAAGTCACTATTAGTTCATTAGCACACCTCCACATCCAGAAAAAATTGACAATTATTACAAACGAAAAAGCTGGGGCCTTATTATCAATATATTTTCTGACCTATAGGACTGAACAGAGCTAAATACCAGAGTCTGTTGAAGATGCACTCCTGAAAARTGCAGCAGTTGAGTGCTGCCGTGGATCACCTGAAACAAATGAACATGTTTTCCCATAAAAATATGGGGGAATATGCAGTAGCCTGGGAAGCACACACAATTTAAATAGTCAGGGACAGTATAGACAGCATGAAGGATGGAAAGCCAGGAATAGGATCAGCAGCATCGTGGTCTAGAGGACATTTTMAGTTTTCAGCAGCTGACTTTTAGGAACAGATCAGTATTCCTGAAGATCTCAGGTATCTCATCAGTGAGGCCGAATACAGCCAATGTATACATAAGCGTTCTCGCCACCTCTTTCTGAATTACTTCTATTTGCATCTCTGGCATCATCTTCCTGAGATYAATCAAGCTCAAACACATCAATCAAGGGGGAAGGACAGAATAATCGGAAATGGTGGTTGGCAGAGCACAGTACTAARTGATTCCAAAATGAAGAACAGAAGTGTGACAGATTGAGGAGGTGTTACTGTATAAGGTATTTAGAGTCATTTAAGAGGGTGATTTATGTATCTGTATCTTAAATCCATTTTAAAATTACATTAAGATTTAACCAAAGCATCTTAGTATTTCATCTCAAAAAGTAGGTCAGGAGACATAAAGGCAAGGAAATACGCACACTTCCACTGTTTTATAAATGCACTGTTTTATAAATTTATAAATCCTCACTTAGATTTTAGAAGTAACAGCACTAAGTAAATGAACTAATGAAGGATGATTTCCTCTGCATCATATATTCCTATATATCTCCTTTCCCACTCTGATAGCAATCCCTGACTCATGCCTCCCAAATCCTCTCAGCTGTTTTTATTCTCATCCTTTCCCTCCTTTTTCCTAACTACTCAAGAAGTAACGAATTCTGAAGCTGACTCCGAATCTGTATCTGCTGATAGATAAACAGAACAAGTAACTGTCTAATAGTTTCCTTTCCCTAAGTAGAGACACTCTATTGAGTCTTTCTGTTCCTTCCGGCCACGCATTTCCATGATATTTCTAGAAACTATCCTTTAGAATTTTGTCTAAATAGGCTTAGAGTAATCAATASCTTCAAAAATTCTATGCAAGCAACTAATAGAAGGCCAAAACAGAAGCAAATTTCAATTTGCAACAGTAATCCAGCTTTAATGTCATGTATTGCATAACCTTTCATGTTCATCTTTTTTTTTGTGCCAGTATGCAATCAATTACTGTTAACAACATTATGCAGGTTTTAAATAGAAACACTTCTTAAAATACCTGAAACTGGCTAGCAGTGCTCTTTGGCATTAGGTTGGGTCAAACAGCATTTCTTTGCTATGTAAACTGAAAACAGACTAAACTGAATAATACCACTTCCCTTTTCCCCTGTAAGCAAGCAATAGCAAAACTAAACACTGATTTCTTTATGTGCTCTAAAGAAAGCTTTTAGTAGGAAATACTTGCATACCTTTTGTATGCAGCAACTATAAAATAAACTAACCTTTTTAGCAGGAGAACTTGGTTTAAAAGGTGGTGCAATTTTCTTTTCTGGAGGTTGTTGCTTAACTGGTGGCAAAGGTTGGTCACTAAAATAGGGATTAATGTCAAAATATTCCCGGGGATAGAGATTTAACTTGAAAGGCCCTCCTTTAAGCAGACGTCGATGTTCCTCTCGTGCTTTCTGTTAAAGAAACATTTTGCAAGAAAAAGTCTTAAGCATTTTAACTGCGTATTATTCACCTAAAAGAAACAAATAAAAGCATTTAAATTCAGCTCACTGTAACTTTCTTTGCTATTGTTTCATCAAGGTATTTTATATTCCCACTACACATAATGGAGCATAGAGACACACTGACCAGGCAGCACAGTTACTAGGAAAGTATGGTAGAAAAATGCTTGGAAAAGCACTCTGTATTTAAGGCACATCTGACTGTACTGTGTACCTGTATCTTGGGCAAACAAACTTACAGACATGACTGAAAATCCTGCCTTCATGCATATCACCTGCATAATATGCTGACCATACTGTCACTGTATTTATGTGGGCTTAGTGATAAGATATGCAGAAAGATGTCCTACATTTTGAGTACCTCACTAAGTTGAGYTCCTCTAAGAATTGGTTCATTTAACCACGGGAGCTGTCGATTGCTCTTCCCAGATTCCATATTCAAATAAAACAGGCAAAAACTAGCACTGCAAACAACTACAAGATGTATGAAATGCATCCTTACTAATACAGATCACTGAGGTGGATTCCAYGGCATTATCTCAGAGCAAATTCCCTATCACCCTCTTTACCCAGTTCATAAGATATAATTCTGCATCCTTCTGTTCTTAGTACTTCTCACTATCTGCACCAGATGCAGAACTTCGAATCCAAGTTTGCCTCAACTACAGGTAACCAAGCTGCTGCTTCTCATCTCGTTTTTATCACTACTTAACATAAGGTAGAAGTAGTAGTAATGTTCTTGCTATTGGTTTTATTTGGTCATAAGTAATTGTAATAAATGCATTAATATATAATAAAGACAAATATTTTTACACCTTTGCATCTATTCTTCCAGCTTCATACACTTCAGGGGCATGTGGATATTGTTCACCTATGGTAACATTTGCATATCTGTTAAAAAAAAAAAAAAGAATAAGAAGTTAACAAAATAAAACAAAAAATTCAAGAAACATATAATAAAATACTTGAGAAGTTACCCATATCCAGTTCCTTTCTTTCCTGGATTAGTATAAAAATTCTTTCCCGGAGGAATGTATTTTTCTTTAGCTTTCAGTTGTGCGCTGAAGTATGCATATGGACCTCCTATGGTTCCATAATAGCTGCCCAGTCCACATCTAAAAATAGCAAATAAACATGTTAGTGAATGCTTTGCAAAAATTTTGAGGTTTCCAGATCTAGTGTAAAATAACATTCAGCAGAAAAAAAAAATACTGTTTCAAAAAAAAAAAAATATATAAAGCTTCAGATCGCTGTGCATGGATCCATTATTATAGTCAATCTGTGTACAGCACTAGGGACACAAAAGAAACAGATGGCAGCAAAGATGAAGTTTTGCAGCAGACAGGTTTAACACAGACAGGTTTAACAAAGTCTGACTTCCGCTTTTGTTTCAGTTTTGCCTCAACAATCCAAAGGAACACATTGTATCTGTATTCACAAATGCAAACATGTTGGCACAGTTCACCACAAACCTACTGGACTGAGTCACCCAGAGGAATGGGTTCAACACAGGTGGTGCTTCATGATAAGAACGTGACATTGCCTGAGTGGCAGTATCCTTTTGATAACCGAGGGGCAGGCCACATGGCGACCTGGGTTTTTTTTCTTGGATGTGGCTCGTGATGTTAAGGACTGTCTACCTTTCTGTCTTATCACAGAAGAAGAGCAGAGAGACACAGCTCATTTAGGAGAAACATCTCTAAGATGAATRTGTACTTCTCAAAGTAAGCAACCATACACCTACCAAGTAACAAAGACCCAAGACAAACTGATGAAATAGCTGGAAAGACAACTTGGTCCAACTACAGTGGTAAAAAAAATCTCATATGCAACAAAACTGGGCAAACTGACAATGCACTGACAAACTTTATCTTGGCATTTCCTAGCATTTAAGTCCTTTGCAAACTTTAAATGTCATCTCAGCTTTTWATATATACCAGTAACATAATGACAGAATATAGACAAATTAAGGAAATAAAAGGCGCAGACATCAGTCACATCTTCAGAACATGACATCTTTGCAACCTCTGAATTTCCAGCCAACAACAAACCTGGCTCCAGCGTAAGCAAAAGATTTCCAAGAGCTGCTTGCTTATCATTCAGGCAACCAAGAATAACAGTGCTGATGCAGCTCTGCTCTACYTCCTTAGCTGCATTGGTGCCGGTTTTGGACATAAACTTCCATAACTGCTTGAGGATTTTAGCATAAGACAGCCTAGCCACCTTTCCAGTCTCTGCTTTGTGCTGTTCTGCCAACCCAGATTTAGGAGAAGATAAAGAACCTGTCCTAAAGTTCATGCCTAGAAGAACTTGGGAGCCTTACAACAAGCAAGAGAGTCTGAGCTGCTGCACAGGGAGCCAAGAAGAGTGTTTGTGGAGACATGTGGAGGAGGGCGCCTTGGCAGGATTCTGTTGTAAGCAATTTGGTGGAGACTTTTCTTGTAAGTCTTGGTGAAGCAGAACTCTGAATCCAGAAAGAAAGTGAACAGGACTGTCATCAACTGACTTGGATGCTGTGAGAGAAAAAGCCTGGCCTGTTATTCCTAATGCTTTTGCAATATATATACTATATCTATTTTGAGAGGCTCAGAAGTAGAAGATACCATATATGACAAGTGCAAACAGGCTCCCTTCTAAATTAAAATATTAATTATGTAGACCCTTTTCCCAAACTCATCTTCATTTTAATTGAAAATAGGAAGCTAACAGTGCAAAAGCTGTTCACAGCAGTAGACAGTTACACAAACAGAAGATAAAACTGAGCATCAGAAATTCATTTCTATGAGCATCCAACCTTCCTTTATCTCTAATGGCTTGCTGACATCCATAATTCTGCACTCAGCACTGTGATTAGCACTACATCATATACGTCATATTTATCTTTCCAAAAGAATAATGTTATACTCCCATTGCAGGCTTTTTATTTACTGGTGGAAAGTTATCCGTCACGTACAAGAAAGAAAAAGATTTATTTAAACATTTTGACAACACTTACGGCAATTTGTCTCCATTACTGGGAAGAAAAGCTCTCCCCAAATTTTTCTTTGATTCTGCCAGTCTATAGCGCCTCCTTAGCTGAACAGGATTTGAGTAGGCTTCACCATCGAAAATTCTCACAAACTGAGGCTCAAAATAACCTGCCTGAAGAGCTGACAATGCCTTGCTCCCCCCAGGTAACATCTGTCTGTTCTTGCTTGCAGCTTCATTAAAAGGGCCTTTAAAAGAGTAAGCATGGTAAGTAATCATTTGATGCCATTGCTTCTCTTAGCCTACCTTAAAACTCTAATGGATCTAGGTGGTTTAACACACTGGTAACGCACTACAGTTTGATTTTTCAAATCCTATGCAGCAACCAGACATATCTGAAAGAGAATGCTACAAGAGGGTATTCACTGTACCAAGTTGTAGATCTAATCCCTAAACTTTTGTTAGGGGAAATGGAGATTGGCTACATTAGCCTGGTGGTTCAGAGCTGCAGCTGATGCCCACTAGCAGTATCTCAGAGCAGCACCTCCTCCCCACCCATTCTGAGACCAGGTAGTTCTTTAAGTGCCTTCGGTCAGGTGCTCTGCATGTACAGCAGCTCAGAGCTGGTGATCCAGCTCTGGTGGATGTGTTCATCACCGACACAGCATCACAGCAGTACATCTGTACTGGGAACCCAGGATTATTCCATGGTCCCGCTTCAAGGGGCTACTGCAAGTCAAACTCTGCCACTACTATTTACAAAAATTATCTTGCTCAATGAATAATCCTATGGAACAAGTTAAGAAATGAAGGATGTATACGTCCTTCGGTATTCTCCCTCCAAAAAAAATGGAGTGGAGAAAGGGGAACTCACATTTAAGTGCACAACAACTAGTCTTGCAGAGAAATGCACATCCTAAAAAATTTTAGGAATCTATTATGCACACATATTTTCAGTTTTGTGATGGATTTTTCCTTTCTTAAAYGTTATTCCAACGCATCAAGCATCTCTCTCAGCAGAAGACTGACCTGAGCAAAGAACATGTTTGAAAAGACAGTTGCCTCTGAAAGCAAATGGAGCCTTTCTGAAATTAAATGGATACTAGAGGTATTTCTATTGCTAAACAGTGATTAAAATGAATGTACTTACGCATATAATGTGAGACATATTTATCTCCAATGGAAATATAACCCATTTCACTGAAGAGGCCAACCCTCTCCATATCACTTTTTCCATCTGCAGGCATGGTTGGATCTGTATGGCAGGGCACAGCACTAAAGAAGGTAGAAGTCTCCTTTTTTCACTTGTTAATAGACCAAAAAAAGTCTATAAAGAGTCCACACCTGCAAAACAAAACAAAAAATTATTTAAAGTAAAAGGGTTTTAATTAAAACACTACCAATAAATGAAATATGAGGAAAATGACTGGCAGCTTTGGTATCCACAGGACAAACACACTATGCGGAATTTAGACAGCATTATGTTTGTTACACAAATTCAAAGCAGCACTTTGTAATAGAATTGTAGCTACTCTCACTCAAGTTACATAGCTTGGATCAAAATTTTAAATTAGGTATCCTAAGACTAATAAGATGAGAGGYTTTTGTGGCATTAATAGCTATCAATAACATATTCCAACCATACTTTCACTTCACTTTTTGAGTGACATCTACCAATGCTTTTCACTCACTTTCTAACAATGGCATAGAAGGATGTATATGGACAAGTCTGCAGTAAACTATAAAAAAGCCTTTCAAATTCCAGTTCCAAGTACAATCCAAGATCTGTTCATGGTAAATACCTCCAATTTCTCAATTATTTTAATGCAAACAATTTACAGTATACTTCAGTTTTTCCTCCTCATCTTCCTTTGGGCCTTATACAACCAAGGGAAATACACAGACAACAACACCAAGGAAATCAGGCACTTGAATATATAGCAGTCCTGCCACTAAAATTACTACAAATTTAACTCCTAATATGAAAACTAATAGAAATGGGAATTAGAATCAGTCGGAAGAACTGCCTCAAGAAGGAAGCCAACAGGACAGAAGCAGTGAATTTACTGGCAATTGAAATCAAAACAAGAAATTGTTAACAGGCTAGGAAAGCTACTTCTTGAAAGTCACAAAGAATTGTTAAAATATTATGAATGTGCAAACGATACAAAACAAGTAGCTGAAGTTTTGTGTCCATAAAACTGATGAAAACAAGGAAGCTTTCCACTATAATGACTTACACATTAAAGGACTTTCATTCCATGTAAGGGAAGTCCTACATAGCATTAGCTATGAGGGCAAAGGCAAGGCAGAAATAACTACGGTAGAGAGACTAGTAACAGACACTACTTATATCTGGTATCTGGGGTGTCAGAGTARAAAAGCAGCAGTAGAAGAGCACTGGAAATACATAAAATAGCAATAMTAGAACATGGTGGTTTTTGGTTTTTTTTGCCCCAACATGCCAAGGTCCACATCAAAACAATGCAAAGCACAACATATGTTCATCAGAAACATTGATAAACTTGGCTCAGTACACTTTTTTAATAGTTGACAGAATTATAAACYGGGTAAGGAATTAGGCTAAAGGGCAGGCAGTGGAAGCGAGGCTGGAAGATACAAGAAGGCACATCCTTGGAAAGCCCTGCAGTTTGCTGCCATGAAACGAGCTGGCATCATCGCTGAGGAGGACAGGCACAGGCTTCTGGAACTAAGTACACCTGGAATTAAATTCTGAAGTGTAAGTAAAAGTTACTGACTTAGGGACTAACAGGCAGGATTTCTGCTGTAGTCCCACTAGTTCWGAGAAGCGAGGCCGACTAGCAGAGCTGTAAATGAGCAGCTTTGTGCAGCAATAGACAGGTAAGCTGGCTACAGGTCAGCTACTCCTGAGGAGTCTTCCAAGGAGTTTTGGGAAAAGAGAAGAAGTACTAATACCTTACTGCCACGACCTGGGAAAAAATAAATAAATAAATAAAGCTTAGTATGCAGAATTCTGGTTACCAAAGAGTTAAAGGAAAAAACAACTCAAACCAGACCCTGGGCAGTTTGGGTATTAGATACTGGRCTGTTAGCGGAAGAATTCTCCGAGAGAGGAAGCACAGCGGGCAAATCTCGGCTGCTACTTCCAGGCCGAGCCCGGCGGTATTCACGAGGGCGAGAGGAAGCCGGGCGCGGCGCGGCGGCGGCGCGGGTCGCCCGCAGTTCGCGCTCGCAGAGCAGACGAGCGGACACGGGTCACCCCGGGCACCTACTTGCCGGAGCGGCCGCCTCACTAGACACGAGCAGGAGGCGGGAGCCGCCGCCATCGCCCGCCCCCCGCGGCGACCGTTGCCCGGGAGGCGGGAAAGCCCAACGGACCGAACAAGGGAACTCTCTGCTTCCCYCCCCCCCCCCCCCCGGCGGTTTTCTACAGTGGTACGGCCCGAAGCGACTGCGGCTGCGCAAAACGCCTGAGGGCGGGGAGGGAGGGAGGGAAGGAAACCCACCTTCGCGCACCTCCAGGGCAGTGGTCACGTGACGAGCGGTCGCTACCACCCCTCACGTTCGGCGGAGGGGGGGATTTGGAGTGCGCGTGCGCGAGGAGCATGCGGGCCGGCGCGCCGCTCACGGATGTGGTGAGGCCGCCGCTCCGCCAGGGCCCGCGCAGAGACGGGGCGGGACGGGACGGGACGGGGGGCGCCCCGGGGCGGGCGGCACCGGCGGCGGTGGGGCCCCCGTAGCCGCCCGGCCGCTGCCGCCGGCCCTTGTGGGGCCGCTGCGCCCGCTGGGCGCCGGGGCGAGGCCGCGCGGCTCGTGTCGTGCACGGGCGCAACGGTTTTTAACGGATTTCCCCCCGCGGGGAAGCCGGGAAGCCGTCGCGGCTGACGCGCCCTCTCCGGCAGCCCCTTAGCAGGGCAGCGTGTTGGCTTGTGTGGCATCCCCACCCGCCGTGATTCCCTTTCCCGAGCCCCTTCCTGAGCTTGATTCCTAAGCTGCGGTCGGCCAGATGCAAAMCCCGCCGTTTCTAGCAGCCCGGTGTCCGGAGCGCTCTTTGTCGGCTTCATATTAGAAGTGGGAATTTTGTGTGGATCAACCCTGTCCTGAATGACCACTGKGTAAAAACCACCCTGCTGCATGAAAACCACGGTGGTCCTTCCCGCGCGCCCTCTGAGGAGGGCTTGGGGTCCAAGCCCACGGAAAGGGCCGGTTGTGGCATGCACTTGGTCTTATTTTTGATGCGTTTATTTCATGAATACAGCTGGTGCTGCATCGGGAAGGTTCCCACGCTCGGTTAGCATGCGGTGACGTGGTGAAATCTTTGCCAAAGCTCTTCCTGCAGCTCTTTTCACAGACTCTTGCACAGACTCACAAACTCTTGCAGTCTTTTCACAGCAGCCAAGACTGAATCTTTTCCTTGGGGGGCCTGCTACGTTTGGCCATACCCACCCTCTCTTGGTCAGYCAGCTTTTCCTTATCCATGTACCGGTGCAGCTGTTGTAAGGGGAAGGGAGTAGCTGGGAGGTGTTTGTGCCAGCTTAAGCAGCGCTGCTGTCCAATGTGAAACGTCAACCTGAGTGCTAGAGGCTGCTTCCCTCCTTTCCCTGTTCCTAAAGCTGTGATTTCTTAGTGAAGATGAATGTATCCTTGTAGATATGCTCAGGTATCTTTTTGCTCTGTAATGATCAGTCGTCCCCAGCTTGTTGAAAGTAAGCTCTCAAAACAGGATGCAAAACCTATATATTGAAGGAAAAAAAAAAACAGTTGTAGTTTATCCAAATATTTGTGAATGTTGAAAAGTACATAAACAGAGTTTTCATGTACGGATAGAAGTGCTTCAATAACTGTGCTTGAATTGTAACTTCAGATAAAGCATGTTGTAATAACCTTATTACTTTTTCCTTAGGTAATTYTGGAAGCTATGGACATACTCTTCAGAATACGAGGAGGCTTGGATCTGGCATTCCAGCTTGCAACTACTGATGGTATGCCTGTAAGACTATCATAGCTTTCTTAATAAAAATGTGACATTTATATAGACCTTAGTTAACTACCTACAATGGTGAGGTAGGGT